TGATTTAATGGGGAGAATTTTGTTGGTTATCAAGATAATTGAATTCCTTTGCAGAATTACTTAAAAATTATTGAAAATAATTGATTTCCTGCGACGAAAAAAATTGGGAAAATTTAGGGTAAATTTTCAAAATAGGGTACGTTTAGGGGCCAAAATTAAAAAAAGGGGACTTTCAGGGAAATAGGGGACAGACTGTGAAGCCTTTATAACATTATTAAAGAACATTAATAATAATTAAAATAATTAAATAATTAAAAATTGCTTAAACTTTATCTTTACAAATTACTAGTTAGGAATATTATTCTAATAATTAGCGAATGACTTATTATCAAATTGAATAATTAATTAATATTTCAATAATAATAACCACAGCAATTAAAAAAAATAAGCAGAAACGATAAGAACTTGACGCAGTTTTAATTATCTTATCTTAAATCGATTAGCAGTAATTACTAATCTCAACGATTAAACACTTCATTAGATAATAATTTGTTTCGTATAAAATTTCGTCCATACTATCGAGACTTTTTTCAATTCAAAAAAAGTATCTGAATGATAAAAATCATTAACAGGAAGTTCCTTTCAAATAAATTATCACATAATGCATATTTTCTTTGTAGATATGTTATAAAAAATATTTATATGTATATTCAACTTCCGGTTACGCTTTGAATAATTCAAGGAAAATTTTTTTCTTTCTTTTTGCGATAATGAACTTTTTTTCTAGAAATAAAAAAGTTTCTGTCAATGTAAACATTTTTATCTGCAGGTAAAATTATTTCAGATAAAATAAATTCAAAGAATCGAATCACACGCGGTGAACTTGGACTATAAGTTCAACTTCTTGCATATCCAATTTTTTATTTCGAATTCAAATCTTCCTTTTTTTTTATCTAGAGAAAAACGGCTTTTTGCTTTGAAAATGCTACAAAAAATTGAAAAATAAAAAAAATAAAAATCCCCCCAGGGTTACCTCAAAAAGAAAAAAAAAGTAGCTTTTAGTGTCAAAAAATTAAAAATGTATCCACAAAATTTTAATTTTATTTTTCCCTGATTCTAAAAATTCAATTTTTTCTAGTATTAATAAAAATCTCTGACTTTTTACTGACCAATTCTAATTTTCCTGACTTGTCGCAACTCGGAAATAGGTAGAAGCAAACAGTCAAAAAATTAGTAAATTGTAGCTTTTTAGTAGATGAGTGCGCAGCCTCATGTTTGTTAAACTAAAATAGAATATATTTTCGAATTTAAAATTGTATCCAAAGTAAAGTTGTGAGAATATTTTCTGTAATATTTTAAGATAAAATTTATAGACCGAGTTAGACTAAATAAAATAATCCAAATTTAACTTTGCATTTAAATTAAGTATAAACTTTCCTCAACTTATTCGAGAATTATTGCACACATCAAAAATACAATGTGTTAAGGAATTTACAATAAAATTATTTTTTTTAATTTTGATTTGAAAATAAAGCGATTGTCAAAATTCAAAAAACGTAAAATATACGTTTCTGGTTATTCTTTCATGTTCAACAGAGAATAGTTATTTTCTTAAATTATTAATCTTATTATAAATGATCTAACGTTTGGCAGAAAGATTGACAATGCGGAACTAATGCCGTGCCACTTTAAATTTAAATATAGCCCAAATCAAGAGACTGGGAGATTTAAATGAGCGTTGTAGTATATTTTAAAGTGCGTATACTCCAATGTTTTGGTTACTAAAAGAGAGAAGTCAAGATTGTCTCTCCCTGGGAGGTATTTGACTCTCAATACAGTACAGCAGGAGAAACGAGATTCAATCTCTCTCTTTCTCCTTTTTTTTTTCTTTTTTTTTTTTTAAAGAAAAAAATTTCGAAGAGGAGCTCTCATGAATTACGCATTGTACGTCACAAACTGGTTTCAGCCCTTGAAATATTTTCTTCCAAGTTTTCCACACATGTTTGGCCCCAACTGTGCAGCTATTCGACTATTTTACAAATTTGAATCTGTTGCAAGTTTTTTTTTTACATAAATGAAAATTATCTATTTCTGTGTTACACAAAGCAGTATTCTTAGTGCAAACTTAGCACTGGATAATTAATTTTAAAAAAAGGAACAAAAAGTAGCTTTCAAACTACTAAAAAAAAGTAGTGAAAAAGTAGTTATCAAAAAATTAAACTTGACGACAAAAAAAACTCGTTTTTAGACACTTCAGAAAACTGACAAAAATTCCATTCTATTTGTTATTTTCCCGACTTCTTACTAATTTTCTGAATTTTCGTAAAAATATTTACGTTTTTCTTATCCTGCTATTAAAATTGAATTCCTGCAACGAATTTTATTATTTATGAAAGAATTTAAAAATTTATCAAAATAATTTAATTCTTGGGAAGAATTTTATAAAAATGTTTAAATAGTTGATTTCTTTCTACTAATTTTATGCGAATTTTAATTTAAATAATTAAATTCCTGGGAAATTTTCATTATTTATGAAAAGAATAAATTGAATTCTTACGAAGATTTTTACAAAAATTTTTTTAAATAATTGAATTCTGTTTGAAAATTTTATGAAAATAGTAAATATTAAAAATCATTGAATTGCGAATAGTTTTTAAATATAATTAAATTTTACAAAGAATTCTATTAAAATTTTTGATAATAATTGAATGTCTATGTTGTATTTTATTAAATTTTTTTGAAAATAATTGAATTTCTAAAAAGCATTTAATTTTTTATGTAAATAATTGAATTCTTGGGAAGAATTTTATTTAAATCTATAAAAGAATAATTGAATTATTTAAAAAAATGTAATTAAAATTCTATTTAAAATAATAGATTTTTTTCGAAAAATTTTATTAAAATATTTCAAAATAATAGAATTCCTGTAAAAAATTATTATATTTTTGTAAATACTTGAAATCTTTTAAAGAGTTTAAAAAAAATTTTTTTTTAAATAATTGATTTTTTCGTGGAATTGAAATTAAATTCTTAAGAATAATTACATTTTTTGAGCAATTCTTGTCAAATTGTATTAAAAATATTTGAAATCCTGCGATTTTATTATTTATTCAAATAATTGAATTCTTGCGAATGATTTTATTAAAATTTTTTTAAATAATTGAATTTCCCAGAAGAAATTTAATTTTCTGTAAAAATTTTTGTTATTTTTGAAAATAATTAAATTATTTATAAGAATTTTATTAAAATTTTTTAAAAATAATTGACTTTTCTGAGAAGGATTTTATTATTTACAAAAATAATTGAATTTCTGATAAGGATTTTATTATTTATAAAAATAATTGAATTCTTGCAACGAATTTTATTAAAAAATTTTTAAATAATTGAATTTCTGTAAAAATTTTTGTTAATTTTGAAAATAATTCAATTATTTATAAGAATTTTATTAAAATTTTTTTAAAATAATTGAATTTTTGAGAAGGATTTTATTATTTACAAAAATTATTGAATTTCTGAGAACGATTTTATTATTTACAAAAATAATTGAATTTTTGAGAAGGATTTTATTATTTACAAAAATAATTGAATTTCTGAGAAGGATTTTATTATTATATTTATAAAAATAATTGAATTCTTGAAATTAATTTTATTAAAATTTTTAAAAATAATTGAATTTTTGTAAATAATTTTGTTATTTTTGAAAATAATTAATTTCTTCATAAGAATTTTATTATTTATAAAAATAATTGAATTCTTGCGAAAAATTTTATTAAAATATTTGAAAAGAATTGAATTTCTGTGAAAATTTTTGTTATTTCTGAAAATAATTGAATTCTTCATAAGAATCTTATCAACAAATTTTTTAAAAAATTGAATTTCCATGAAAAATATTATTATTGAAAATAATTGAAAAAAAAATTTATCAAGGAGAGAAAATCAAGGTGTAGAACAATAGGCAAAATGTGATTAGTTTACAATGATGACTTTTTAATTAAAAACTTCCTTCACTTTTGTCTATTGCTGAGAAAAAAACGTTTTTTGCAAAAACAATAATTTTTACTGCAAATCTCTTTTTAAATGGAAGTGCAACAGCGAAAATTAACTTGAATTAATTATTGTAGAATAATGAGAGCCAAGTTAAGTGCCATATAAATTCATATCACTGGCTTCACGATAAGAATTGTTAAAACACATGGACGGTTCCCATCAGTTAAAAGTTTTAAAATAGAATTCACTTTGAAACGACTCACTTCCTTTAAAAACTGAAAACCTTTCAGCCTTATTGATATAAAAATAGCAACAATTTTGTCGATAATGTAGTCCATAAGCTTCAAATTCTCCAAAAAAAATTCCCTTATTCAACAAAATGCAAACAAAAAAAAATTCATTATTATTTAATTGAAAAGTTGAACGTATTTTTATCTCGCAATTATTCTCAATAAAACTATAACAATAATATAATAATAAACTAATAACAATAGTAATGATAATGATAATAATAATAGTAATAAAAATAATAAAAATAGACAATTATTTATTTATTTTCCTATCTCTCTTTAAAAAAAATTAACGAATAAAATACGAACGATAAGTGATCGATATTCCTTGACAATGTTTTTGTTGAATAAAATGCATAATCGTTATAAAATATTGAACTTGAAATTTTATTTGTTAATGATTTTCTCCTCACAATAATAAATAAGATACTAAAATACGTTCTCATGGAATAAAATTATAGAATCAGAAATTTATGGAAAAAACTGTTAGAGCTTTTGTAAATAAATTCTTAATTTTTATTACAAAAAATAAAATATTAAAATTACGCAAAATTTTTTAGATTTTAACTTCCAGTGTTAGAATTTTAGTGAAAAAACAACTTCACCGAAAACAATTTTTGCAGAAAATGTGTCAATAATTGCGATTAATGAAAATAAGACGTTATTTAATAATTTCTCACTTATTTTTCAGGTATTTTAGACGAAAAAAGAAATAATTAGAAAATCAGATATAGAGAACGGTTTGTTTACAATTAGAAATGTCAAATACACGTGAATACTTACTTGTGACTAAAGTTCCGGGAAACTTTTTTAAAGTTGAAAGCAAAACGTTTTTATTTCGTCTGAAAGGAATAGGCGTCAGTATAATATTGATGTGTCAACAATAATTTCTCCAAAGCCAACGATAAATGTGTTCGAAGGAATGGACGAACATTTTTTGCTATATATATATATGTAAATATTCTAAACGGTAAACACTGAACCGGAGAGTATACACACACACACACTGCGAGAATATTTTGACTTTGAATGCTTATAGGTTATGAAAATTTTCCAACTGTAAAGCCGTAAAGCGAAATCAGTCCCTCATGCCTCGATAGACGGCTAAAGACTGGGTTTACACTTTGCTTTTACTGGACAGAACAGAATGCCGACAATATGTATTGTACTCACTCTACATACACAACTACCGGCTTGGCTTGGCGACTTTCGAGTCTCTTCGAGTTTGACTTGGATTTTGACTTGACTCGACTCTTCCTTGTTTTTACACCTTCACAACTTTGGGAGTTAAATTTACAGGTTAGCCAATATTGTCCTGTTATTATAAACTTTTAATTGATAATTAAAGAACACAATTTTTTTGTACTCTTTTATTTAAATTTGCTTAACAAAATCTTAGATCAAAATGACATTAAATTGCAATGATTGAAATAAATTAAAAGTTCGGATTTTATTAGACTATTTTTATTATTATTTCTAAAAAAAAGTGGCACACCTGGTGATCACGTGGTTCCACGGATTTGAATTTTCGAATTATTTATAAATCTTCTTTTGTGATTGCGTAAAAAATATTTTTTTTATTCCTTTTTTTGTCTGCAATTTAGAGAGACAGTAAAATAAAGATGACATTGAAATATTAGATAATAATAAATAAACATCAGTGACTGAGGGAAAAATAGAAAATTTTCATAACCTAGAAACTAGTGCTCATTAATTTTAATAATAGTGATAATAACCGTCATAACGTTTGGCAATCAATTTTGAATGCAAAACAAATAATAATAATCAATGTTATGCTCGCCCTTTAAATAGATGCAAATATTTTTCATTGAAAGTTGAATTAAAAATTTTTTTGGAATTTTTAAATTTATTTTTAAAATTATATATTTTTTATAATTTAATTTATTTCTTTTGTATTTATTTAAATGAAAAAAAAATTAAATTTGAAACTCGTTTTGTTGGAATTTTTTTATTTGAAAATTCATTTGTTTATTTTTCTAACTAATTTCAAGTCATTATTTTATCATAGTTTTTAATTATATATTTCTTATTTTTTATTTGAAAAAATTATGATTTGAAATTCGTTAGAAAAACAAACAAATGAATTTTCAAATAAAAAAACTCAATAACAATGGTATTTCTTTTAGCTTTTTTAACATAAAAACAATGTTTTAAAAAAAATGCTTCAAAAATAGTAAAAATCAATTTTTTTATTAAGTAATTTTTTTGTAGATACAAAAAAATATTTTCTACAACATTACGGATGGATTTTAAAATCTATCAATTTTGAACAAAAATAAAAATTCAAAAAGGATTAGAATATTTTCTGACCATTTATTTTCTCTCAAAAAATTACTATAAAAATAATTTTATTCAAGATTTAAATTATTTTCTTGATATAGTTAAAAATGTTTCCGAAGGATATTTTTCTCCAAAATTCAATTATTATCTTTAATAAAATTTTTATTCCATTTCTCGAGAAATTGGATTAAAATTGAATTAAAAATAATTGAAAAATTCTGCAATGAGTTTCATTATTTTATAGAAAATACATAATTGAATTTCTACTAAGAATTTTTTTAATTTTGAAAATAATTGAATTTTGTAATAAATTTTTTTTATTTTCGGAAATAATTGAATTTCTTAAAGGAATTTTTAAATTTATGAAAATAATTAAATCCCTGTAAAAAATGTGATTATTTATGAAAATGATTGAATTATTGCGAAGAAATATTACAAAAAAAATTTATAAATAATTGGATTCCTGTGAAATTTTTATTATTTATGAAAATAATTAAATGTTTGCGTAGAATTTTATTAAAATTTTTTTTAAATAATTGAATTCTTTTGGAAAATTTTATTAAAATAGTAGAATATTTGAAAATAATTGAAATTTTTCCATGATTTTTTTTTTTAATGTCTGCAAATAATTATCAGAGAAGAATTTTATTATTTATAAAAATAATTGAAATTTTAACAAGAATTTAAAAAAATTTTAACATAAATAAATTTTTGTGAAGAATTTTATTACTTTTCATCAAAATAGTTCAATTCTTGAGACGAATTTTATTAAGATTTTTAAAAATAATTCAATTCTTGAGTACTTGTGAAAATAATTGAATTTTGTCGAAGAGTTTTGCTATTCATTTATAAAAATAATTGAAATGTTGACAATTTTTTTTTTAGAATATTTGATCTTGTGATGAATATTGTTATTTATGAAAATAATTGACTTCCTCCGAATAATTTTATTATTTATGAAAATAATTAAATTCCTTGAAAAAAATTTTTAAATTTATGAAAATAATTGAATTACTGCGAAGAACTTAATGTAAAATTATAAAACATTTTTTGTTTTCGAAAAAATTTATACAAATTCCATTTTAAATAATTGAATTTCTGTGGAATTTTTTTTTGTTGGAAAAGAATTGAATATTCGTGTAAAAATTTAATAAAAAATTTTGTTTACCTATTGAATTCTTTTGGGAAATTTTATTAAATTAGTAGAATATTTGAAAATCATTGAATTAAGAAAGTTTTTTGATAATAATTAAAATTTTCCCATGATTTTTTTTTTATTAAAATTTCTGCAAATAATTGAATATCAGAGAAGAATTTTATTGTTTATAAAGATAATTGAAATTTTAACGAGAATTTTTAAAATTTTTTAACATAAATAAATTTTTCTGAAGAATTTTATTCTTTTTTTGAAAATAATTCAATTTTTGAGAAGAATTTTATTAAAATTTATTTTTACTTGTGAAGATAATTCAATTTTTGAGACGAATTTTAAAAAAAAATTTTGAAAATAAATCATTTCTTGAATACTTGTGAAAATAATTGAATTTTGTCGAAAAATTTCGCTATTCATTTATAAAGATAATTGAAATGTTGACAATTTTTTTTAGATTTTTTGAAAATAATTGAATTTCTACGAAGAATGTTATTACTTTTAAAAATAATTCAACTCTTGAGTACTTGTGAAAATAATTGAATTTCTACGAAGAATTTTTTTTTTAAACTTTTTGAAAATAATTGAATTACTGGAAAGAATTTTGATATTTATTAAGATAGTTGAGTTCTTTCAAAGAATTTCGTTAAAATTTAAAAAATTGAAACTAATTTCAAAAGAATTGAAATTAGAATTTAAAAAAAAAATATTTTATTATATGATTTATCAGTGATAACTTTATGTCAATTCTTCAATAGTATTAAGTTAATTAAAATAAATAATTGTCGCAGAAATAGAAAAAATTGAAAGTTTTCTAGAATTCATGGTACATAATTTCATAGTTTTTCACCGCAAGAAAATTTTGAACAGGATTTTGAAATAAACAGTAGAAGTCGTCTCTCGTAAAAAATGTACATTACGTTTATTGATAACTGTCTCGATCTGTGCGACTTTTTTTTTCTCGTAAATATCAAGTTGATTACAAACGTGTGTCTATTTATATGCATGTATGTTTTGTATATGTATATGTATGCGTACGTACATATGAAAAATGGATTGTATGCGGTGTTAATATAGTCGAGAATGTAACTCGAGGCGACGTATGTATAAATTCTAATAACATTAGAAAAAGCGAAACAGTAAAATTTAAGAGACAATTTATTTATTTTTTTTTTCGGTGGTGTTACCTCGATTTACTTCTCGAGAGATTTCGAACAGGATTACGGATTGAAATGCGAAGAAATTTGAACGATACACGTTCTAAAAGTATAATTATTAGTCTGGCGATATTAACACCATGCGCAATATTGGCTGTGACAGTAATAATAATCATATACCATATCAATACCTAACGTACAAATACAAACTAGAAACGTATTTCAAAATCTCTGATAATGGAGATTTCCTCAAGTTTTTCTTTTTTTTTACTTTTTCTATTTCTTTATATACACGGCACTAGACTCTCCTCCAATTCTAGTCGTTGGGTTGAACAAAAAAAAAATCTCAAGATTCATTTGTCGATTTTACAATCAATATTCCACATTCCTACTACTAATATCAACATTTATACATTATACAACCAAATATCCCCGACACTAATTCATAAACGATAACGATTTCTTTTCTATTTTAAACATTCTGTGTCACTCTTTCCTATTTTTGTCAATTTCCGCAGATTCAGATTTTTAATCTGAATTTAATTTTCAAAATCAACATTTTTTTTGTTGAATAAACTTTTAAAATTCTTATCTAAATACACAAATTTTATGTATATAAATACTTTAATAAATGTAATACAGAAATTCTCCATTTTTCCAATATTCGAATATTCGAATATTTGAAAATCTTTATTTTTTTAAATACAAAACAATTTTTAACCCTGAAATTTATTCAATTTATACAAAAAATAACTTTTTTATTACAGAATGAAATTTTCTCCTATAGTCTTCTGCAAAAAATTCTTAAACGAAGAAAAAATACTCCATGAGTGGTAAAGCAAGGGTTAAAAATTCTTGAATTTTTATTGCCAGATTAAAAAAAAATATCATTAAAATATAAAAAAAATCAACAAATTTGATTAAATTTCTTAAAAATTTGTATTTTTAATTAAATAACTAGATTCAAAAGATTGTTATTATAAATAGTATAATAGTTATGTTTAATAAATGTCTTTAAGTCTAGATAATTTTTTAATCTAAAAGTTTAGCTGTCTTTTTTATAAAAAGTTTTTTTTTAGCTGCAACAATTGAAAGTGATATAAAATAGAAAAGTAATGTTTATCATGGAGTGTAAGAAGCTCCCTTAAAACATTCGCAATCAGCCCCACGGGTAGGTTTGTGCAAAAGGGCAAAAAGTGAGGCAGAGTCTTGTGTCACGTTTTAAACTACAAAAGAGAGACCCTGATTTACAATTAGCAGCCTTTTTTTAAAATTTTATTTCCAAACAATACTGTTCTTTCTCTATTAACTACTAAAGAGCTGTCATGATTAAATATTACTTTCACTCGTCCCTTTACATTAGACGATCGCCATCCTTTTTTTTAACAATATAAATTTCATCAATCTCAGTTTCTACCAAAAATATTGTTTTTTTTATTTTTTATATAAAAGACTGCCTACTCAAAATGGAAAAAAAATCCCCTGAGATTATTTGGTAGTTTCTAAATTTTGTCTACTTTTTTATGTTAACATTTTATGAGTACTACGATTTTTGGTAATAAAAATTTATTTAAAAAAATATTTAGAAAATGTTTTGTTTCAAAGAATTTGGATTTTAAATCTTTGAAAATCTTTGAGTCTTTGAAAGTACATTGTATTTTAATATTATTCTTTTATCGTTAAGTTTATTTAAAAATTAGACTGAAGTCCGCAATGTTTTTAAAAAAAAAGAAAATCAAAAAAATATTAAGCAATTCCACTTGGAACTAAATCAAGTAAAAATTTCTATTTTTTGGTGACGGCTTAAAACTCTGGTAAATTGTTGTTCTATATAAAAATAATAGTGTCCTAAAATATTAACTTTTTCAAAAATTAATTTATGTCATTTATAGGAATTTCAGTTTTGCAGTTTTAAGCGAAATTGTAAATTTCAAATCAGTATAATTTCGACAAAATTTGACAGATTTTAATTTTTATATAGTGAATTCTAAAGCATTTTTGTGTACTTTTCAATTCCGAAACTCTTTTTTTAAAAAAAAATTATTTAACCCCTCTTTTTTCAAAAATAAACCTTATTTTTAAATTTATACAAAAACTACCTCTGTATTTATTTTTTTTTATCATTTTCATTGGAAATTTGAGATTTTTTCCAACAATTTTTGTAAAGTTTAAAAACGGGACAGCATTGTATTTTCAATAACTCAAATAAACAAACTTTTCAACTCCTTTTTTTATCTATTTTATTGAAAACTCATTATTTTTCTTCAATTTTTTATGATTTTCATTGGAAAGCTGAGATTTTCTCCAATAAATTACATAAAGTTTGAAAATGGGACAACAATGGATTTTCAATAATACGAAGAAAAATTTTTTTTTATTCTCGAAAATATATTGATATCTCACTATAATTTTTACATATTTCATTGAGACAAATTTCTTTTTTTTTTTGAAATAATAGAAAAATGAGATTTAATTTTGTAAAAAGAAGTTAAAATTTCTTTTTCTAAATTTTTTGGCACTAAAAAATACACAAAATATGCTTTGAAATTCACTATATCAAAATTTATTTCTTCTATTAGATCATTTCACGTGAAGTTACTCTATTTTTAGATAATTAAATGCTGAAAAATTTTTTTAAAAATAATTGATTTAGAGATGAATTTTAGTTAAAATTTCTAGAAAATAATCAAATAATTTTAATGACAAATTTACTGCGGTAAATTTTTGTTCCATATAAAAGTAATAAAATCCTGAAATATTAACTTTATCAAAAATTAATTTGTGTAATTTATGGGAATTTCAGTTTTGCAGTTTTAAGCGAAATTGTGAATTTCAATTCAGTAAAATTTCGACAAAACTTTTGACAGTTTTCAATTCTTTTATAGTGAATTTTAAACATTATCAATTATCAATTATTCGAAAATTTTTTATTTGAAACCTAAAATTTAATTGTCTCTAAAAATTACTCTTTGCGAAAATTAAATTATTTTCTAGAAAATTATATTAAAATTATTTTCTAAATTAACTATTTTTGCTGAATTTTGAAAAAGCCCTTCAAGAGAGTTTAATTATTTAAAAAAAAAATTCACTGATATTATATGAATTTCAATTCATATAAAATTCAATTATTTTAATTCAATATTACGAAATTTTAATCATTCGACTGTTTTTTAATTGTATAAAAATAAAAAATTTTAATTAACATTTTCCAAAAAATACAAAGTTCTTTAGAATTTTTAATTAAATTTACTTAAAATTCAAATTTTTAAGAATTTTCAATTTCAAAACTTTTTTTTTCAAAAAAAGATTGTTAAGTCTTTTTTCAAAAATAAACCTCATTTTCAATTTTTAAAATGAATTTTAAAGCATCTTTTGTGTACTTTTCAATTCCAAAATTTTTATTTAAAAAAAAAAATTTATCAACTCTTCTTTTTTCAAAAATAAACCTTATTTTCAATTTTTACAGAAATTTTTTATTTTTAATTTTCTATCATATTCATTGGAAAGCTGAGATTGTTTACAACAAATTATGTAAAGTTTACAAATGGGACAATGGGTGTTCAAGAAAATAAAAAAGAAAACTAACTTTATAAACATTTTTTGTTTATTTTTTGAAAAGTCCCATTGTTGTCCCATTTTTAAATTTTACATAATTGGAAAAAATCTCAAATTTCCAATAAAAATGATAAAAAAAAATAAATACAGAGGTAGTTTTTGTATAAATTTAAAAATAAGGTTTATTTTTGAAAAAGAAGGGTTAAATAATTTTTTTTGAAAAAAGAGTTTCGTAATTAAAAAGTAGTCAACAAATTAAAAATTCAAAAAATTGAAAATTCAAAACTTTGAAAATTCACTACACAAAAATTAAAATTTCTTAATTAGAAGTTATGTTAATTTGAATATAACAATGTCCCTTAAAATATTTTTTTATTGGATCCATTCAAGTCGAATTGCTCTAAGAAAATATTTATTTTAGTTTCAAATTTTAATTATATTTGTAGGTAACATTCTTTTAGGAAAATGTTAGTTTCTTAATTTTTCATATTAAAATTTGAGATGAACTAAAAAAAACTTTATAAAATTTTTCGTTTTTAAAAACGTTGCGGACTTTCAGCTTCATAGAACTTTTTCTATTAAATTTTTCCAAGAGTTGGAAAAAACATTTCCATTTGAAAGCGATGTACAAAAATAAATTATACAATAGAAATTAGAAATTCATGTAAAAGAGAATGTGATTTACAAATCCAGACCTCTTTAAAAATTAGTAAAGATAATTTTCCACTGAGCAGACATTCCTGTTGAAATCGCGAGTCTAAAATGTTTATTCGAGATTGATGAAATGAGATGGAGTGCACACGAAGGTTTCAAAAGGGAAATAACAGTTCTCTTGTAAAATGATGCATTTCGAAGAATAGTTTAGCATTCGAGAATTTCTTGCAACCAGCAATCAGATGAGAGATGCATTTGAGTATTAACCCCGGAGTCTCAGGATAAAGGGTCATGCTATTTTTTTTTCTTTTCTCAGGGATGTTCTACCGTGTAATTACTATCGTACGAGCTAAGAGATCGACGTGATCTTGCGTTCGAATTTTCCTACATTGCACAAGCCTACATTCAAGTCGGGGGCGCTATGAAAAAAAAAGAATTTGTTCAACGAAAAACAAATTACAAAAAAAGAAAACTTGCTGAACGGAATGGCACGGTTCCTTAAAATCGACAAGAGAGGAGACAATTGTGCAGACTACGAAACAAAATCCGTCAGTCAAAAGAATTCTAATTTACTCTTAAATTATTTTTTTTTTTTTCCTATTTACAAATTGTTTGCTAGTGGCGATTCGGATTTTCGAATCATCACTATCATAATGGCCGCTTTTAATCGCTCGATCACGAGAGTCGTACAAAATCGATGATAAATAGTACAATTCTGTGAGCACGATCACACCCTCGTGCCGCGTCTCAATTTAACGCTTAAAATAATTTTGGGTTATATAGGCATATATATATTTTTTTATGTATATATAAAATTATAAAAGTATCAACAAATGTACATTATGGGTTAAAAACAAATTGAGAGGTTTTCAAAGAAGTGATTGCCATCGGAAACAATCAAAAAAAAAAATTGATTGAATCGATGATTGAGCGGTTTCCTCACGATTCCAATTCTTCTTTTTTTCTTATCTTATAGAAGATAAAATATTTCACTTAAAAAGCTGTGCGTGACGAATACGTCAATTAAAAAAAAAACATTGTTTAAAATTTAAGGGCAAAAGAAAAAACGACAGCAGTCAATCGACGATCATAAATTCGAGCCATTATTATCACACATATAACTTAATAAACGCGACTCGTCTACATAACAAAAATAATATTCAAATCGCTTAAAAGGCGTAAATCGAATAACAAACAAATTTCAAAAAAGTCCTTTTTTGAAAATAAATTGACAAAAACTCTTAAATCGGTTAAAAGTTAAAAATTTGACGAAATAAAATAGATTGGGAATTTTTGTTCAAAAATTTGCCAATTACTAAAGGCGTTGATGCGTTAACGCTTCGTAATGAATTTCTATGGGGGGAAAGAACCCTGATTTCCTCGTGATACGTTTTTTCTCATGCGATGATAAGGAGGAGAAAAAAAATGAAGAAGAGAGAATGAGAGAGAGAGAGAGAGAGAAAAGCAGGGTCACGAAGCGATGAGAAACGAGAGCGACTTGTGTATTATAGAAAAATTGTGCGACGATACTCGAGGAGGGGCCTTCTTACATATTGTACGCGACGTAAATTGGATCGAGTTGATCGGCGAGGAAGCCGTCGCGCAAGTGCATTCTCTGTTTTTCACCACGCGAATTGATGGGCACTACACCTGGATCGACGACCACGACCACACCGACAACGAGATGATGTTCCTCCAAAACGGCGCTTGTCACCAGAGCCACAAGATCCAATGCCTCGCTCTCACTTCCGTCTAATTCCACCACCACCACGAGAAGATTGGTCCACGTGAAAACGGCACTGAAACATTTTCATCACATTAATTCACAGAAAAAAATATTCTCTTTTATATATATTTATTTATTTAAATGAATTGCTGGAAAAATGTAATTATTTTCAAAATATTTTTGCAAGAATTCAATCACATTTCACAAATAATGAAATTCTTCGCTGAAATTCAAATATTTTCAAAATCTACTATTTTAATAAAATTGCTGAAAAAAATTCAATTCAAAAAAAGAAAAATATAAAAATTGTTGCAAGAATTGAATTATTTTCATGAATAATAAAATTCTTCACAGGATTTCAATTATTGAAACAAAATATAACAAAATTTGTTGCAAGAATTCAATTATTTTTAATTATTTTTATTTTTTATAAAATTCTTTACAGACTTTTAATTATTTGATTAAAAAATTTTGAAAATATTTTAATTTTACTACTTTTAAAAATAATTGAATTCTTGTGATGAATATTGTTATTTATGAAAATAATCTACTTCCTCCGAATGATTTTATTATTTATGAAAATAATTAAATCCCTGAAAAGAATTTTTAAATTTATGAAAATAATTGAATTACTGCAAAGAATTTAATATCAAATTATAAAATATTTTTTTTTTCGAAAAAATTTGTGCAAATTCTATTTTAAATAATTAAATTTCTGTAAAATTTTATTTTTTCCAAAAAGGAAACTTATATTTTTGTGAAAAATGTTGTTATTTGGAAACAGAAAATACGCAAAATATTTTCCATTTCTTAATAATAAGTTTTTAATAATTTTCTAATATTTCTTATTAAAAAAAGTTGATTTAAAAATTAAAATTTTATGTATTTCGAAGAATGCTTAATCATTTTTTTTCCTTTCTGGAAAAAAATTATAATGGTTATCAAGTGGTTTACAATTCATAAACATTATAATCCCTAAAATGCCCGTGCAATTAAGTTAATTCTTCAGAATCCTTAGAAAACTTTTTTTCAAAGAGTTTCAGAGGAAAAAAATTTAATTATTACACTTTATGAAAATAAAAAATAAAGTACAATTTAAGCTTCTCTTTGACATAAAATGTGATAAAAATTTGATAAACTTTGCTTTAAGGGGATGTCAATGTCGATTGAATTTTTACAATGGAAAAATCGCATAGACTTTGGCATCCCTGTAAGATGATCAAAAATTAAAATTTGAAATAAAAAATATTTTAACAGGGTGTCTAGCGAATTATGATTTTCAAATTCCCGGCAAAATCCCGGATTTCCCGGACCTAAAACTAAATTATTCCCGGATTTATTTTTAAGACATTAATGACTATATACGATTAAAATTTCATAATTTTTTAAATACAGTGAAAACTGAATTATCCGAACTAATTCAGGCAGGATTTGGTTCAGATAATCAAAAGTTCGAATAATAGAAATTGCAATTATTTTCGTTTATATAAATGATCGTTTCGGAATTATTTTGCAACATCCAATGGCATTTATGTATTCTTTTAGATATTTACATTAAAAGTCACTGAGGTTCAACTGCAATAAGTTAAAAACATTAGGATTTATATTTAAACTTTCAATTTAAGTTTTCTAAATTCAATAGTTTTAGAGTTGTAGATAATTGAAAACAAGTCTACTTTTAAAAATCCAAACATTTCGTTACCTATAAAAAATGAAAAAATAGATTTACAATAATATATTTTCATCCTAATTGAAAATGTGAACTGAAATTTAACGTGAAATTGACTATTACCTATAATATATCTTTTTAAAATTTTTGAAAAATATAAGACTGAAGGTAGTTCTCCGGCTTCTATACACTTGTAAAAATTTATTTTCTTCAAATTTTGAGGAAAAATGTTTCTTCGGGTGCCCTTTAAATGTGGTAAAAATTTCAAAACCCTTTGCGATGCTAAATTTTGACTTATTCAAGTTCAAACTTTTACTTTTCCATGCGATTATGTTAAAAATAAAAAATCTCAACCACAATATCTCGTTTTTTGACATGGCAAAAGGTTTTGAAATTTTTACCACATTTAAAGGGTACCCGAAGAAATATTTTCTCAAAATATGAAGAAAATCTATCGAAAATTAATTTTTAAAAGAGTAGCTGCCAGAGAACTATATCTTAAATTGAATTTTTTTATAGATTTTAATGAATTAGCGAAACTTTCCAAAAATTCCCGGATATTTTTTTCAATTCCCGGCAATTTCCCGGGTTTTTCCCGGTCGAACTAAATTCCCGGCAAATTCCCAGTTTTCCCGTTTTTCCCGGACGCTAGACACCCTGTTTTAATAAATAATCGATAAATTAACTAAACTAAATAATGCCAGTTACTACCAATAAAATGTATTTAAATTTGTTACATAAATTTGTTCAAAAATTTTTGTGAATTGAAAAATAAGCAATAGTTATGAAAAACTCGAATGAACTATAATTACGTGTATTCATGCTTTAATTCAGAAGATTTTAAAAGAAATAAAGAAATAAAAAAATTTTTGAAGGTTCCTTCGAATAAAGAATTTTGCAGTACGACCATGAAAAGCGAGTTTTACCTGATTATGTAAAAGATTCGATTTCAAGTTTCAGAGCAAGTGTCAAGGGCATCAATGAGACTCACCACAAGAAAATGTAAGAAAATAGCATTAACATAACATTCTCATATCTCGCACTCGCAAATTATGTATTTATAAGTGAGCGGAGATACGAATGAAATGCAATTAGATTAACGGTCATTGAATATCACTTTACGCTCTTGATTTGCATGGTTAATTTTCAAGCACTCGATAAATAAGAATATATCCTATGATAAAGTTGACAAATTACTACATAATAATGATAAACTCCAGGAATTGAATAATAAACTTTGGGAAATAAAATATTCATTGAGACATTTTTTTTTACAATTCTAGTAAAAGACATGTTCTCAATTATTACCTACAAAATGTGTAAAATTGTATTAATAAAGTTCATTAATTAATTAAGTTATTATTATGTTATTGGATTTTATTTAGATTTTTAGAAAATAATTAAATTCTTTTTAGAAGTTTATTACAATTTTTAAAAATAATTTTATTCATCATTCAAGAAATTTTATTCAAATATAGAAAATAATTTAAATTCTTTCGAAGAATAGATACTATTAAAAGTTTTGATAATAATCGAATTCTTTAAAAAAAGCCTTTAATTTTTTTAATAATTGTAATCAATAATAATTTAACTACTCAAATTTTATTGAATATATTGATAGAAAATTAGACTCTTTTGAACAATTTTATCAGAGCTTTTGTAAATAATTAAACTGATTTGAAAAATTTCTTTAAGTTTTTTCAAATAATTTTACTTGGAAATTTTCCAAATAATTGAAATTAAACAAAGAGTTTTTTTTATATTTTTTAAAATAATGTCTGTTAATAATTATAATTAAATACTCGAAAAATTTTATTAAAATTTAAAAAATTGAATAGTTTCGAAGAATTTATTAAAATTTTAGAAAATAATTGGATTCTTTCGAAAAATTTCAGTTAAAATTAAAGTATTGAATTGTTACAAAGAATTTATTACAATTTAAAAAAATAATTGAATTTTTGCAAGAAATTTTAATATTTATAAAAATAATTGAATTCTTTCGAAGGATTTATTAAAATTTTAGAAAATAATAGGATTCTTTCGAAAATTTTTTTCAAAATTATAAAATTGAATTATTTTGAAGGATTTAATAAAATTTAGAAAATAATTGAATTTTTTCGAAAAATGTTATTAAAAATTTTTTTTAAATTGAATTTTTTCATGAAATTTAGTTAAAATTGAATTATAAATAATTGAAATTTTGCAAAAAAATGTTACTATTTATAAAAATAATTGAATTGTTTCAAAGGATTTATTTAAATTTTTAAAAATAATTGTATTCTTTAGAAAAATTTTATGAAAAATTAAATAATTGAATTGTTTTGAAGAATTTATTAAAATTTTAGAAAATAAATTGTATTTTTTCGAGAAATTTTATTAAAAATTAAAAAATTGAATTGTTTTGAAGAATTTATTGAAATTTTAGAAAATAATTGGATTCTTTCGAAATTTTTTTTTTTTAAATTAAAAAATTGAATTCTTTTGAAGAATTTTTAAAAATTTTAGAAAATAATTGTATTCTTTCGAAAAATTTCAGTTAAAATTAAAGTATTGAATTATTACAAAGGATTTATTAGAATTTTAAAAAATAATTGAATTTTTTCGAAAATTGTTATTAAAAATTTTAAACAAAATAAATTCTTTCATGAAATTTGATTAAAATTGCATTTTAAATAATTGAATTTTTGCAAGAAATTTTAATATTTTTTATAAAAATAATTGAATTGTTTCAAAGGATTTATTACAATTTTTAAAAATATTTGGAATCTTTCGAAAAATTTTATTAAAAATTAAAAAATTGAATTATTTTGAAGGATTTAATAAAATTTTAGAAAATAATTGAATTTTTTCGAAAAATGTTATTAAAATTTTGTTAAAAATTGCATTTTTTCATGAAATTTAGTTAAAATTGAATTATAAATAAATTGAATGTTTCCAAAAAACTTCTTTTATTTGCCTACAATTTAATAAATATTGATATTAAAGACTTACCATTCAGCGATTTTCTTATGGCACCTCATCACACTATTCTCAATATCGATGGGATGATATCTCATGCCTCTGAGTAAAATGGCTTCATCGAGAGCTCCAACGACGAAGACAGCGTCATGAAGTTCCGCATCTCCAGTCGGAGCATCAGCCTCAGAAGCTGAACTGTCGTTTATTGGATCACCGGCGACTGACTGCTGCACCGATTCTGTGCGTCTCAAGAAGCCCAAGTACCCAGTTCTAGCGTACACTTCATTCGTATTTCCGGTAACGAGTCGCGCATTAAAGTGATCAGCGTAGTCGCTCTCATCGCCGTAAATAGTGAAGTAACCACTCGCGTTATGTGACGACTGAACCCAAATTTCACCCAAATGCGAATCTCCGCACTGTCCTTTTGTCTCGGGATTGGCAATTATTACTTTCACACCTGGCAAGAGTTTCCCCGACTCCATCAAACATAAAGAATGAGGACTTCCTCGTTCGACCAGCGAAACCCGATCGTTTCTCAAAGCTCGAAGATCTACGTACACTGTTGACGGTTCTGGACTGGAAGCACCCTGGAAAGAGAAAAAAAATTTCATTCAATTGCGATTCGATTGTATTTTCAAAATTAATTATCAATAAAAGGAAAGGAAATATTTAAAAACATACCTGTAAACAAATGGCGGTGTTAACTCTGCAACCGAAGGACGTAGACACGGCACGAGGACTTAATCCAAGAGCAGAGAATAGTTTGCTAAAACTGGTGGTGAGAGCGATTCGCGGCCTTTCTTCGGCGACTACAACGCAGGTTCGAACGCACGCTAAACTCACTCCTCTTGCTTTGAGAGCGTGAACCGAGGAGCCCAAACCTTTCGTGCAAAGTTCCATCACTCCATAAGAGCAGAAAGTGTCTCTTACTCTGGAATGACTCACGGCTGATAACCAGAGAGCTGGGTTTGCTTCAACCTGGTCAAAGGAAGAAAAAGAAGAGGAATCAGTTTATATTCTTTTAATCGCTTATTGCATTCAAATGAAACACTATTTCACTTTGATGTGCAACGATTCAGGGTCGATTTTTGTAAATTCAACGAAAAAGTCGTTATTTTATTCAGATTTGTCACAAAAATTTCAGTTTCTATTTCCCTGCTCTCTAGAAAATTTGCCAACTTTTTCCTTTTCTCAACAATAACTTCTTTAGTTTTTGTAAAATTTTATTATTTTAAAATAACTTATTAAAACACCAAATTTGTTCAATAATAAAAGTTTAGTTATTTCTAAACTACCTACTGTAATTCTTTTAAAATTAAATTATTTTCCAGAATTTTTAACTAAATTTATTCAAAAGTTCAATAATTTAAAAAAAAGTACTTAAACATCGTTTTCTATTCCAAATAGGTACTGATTTCCAAATAAAAAACTTGTATAACTTTCCCTGAGAAGCTTGTTTGAAAATAAAACATCGCGATTTTTTTTTAGAAAAAATTTGGTTCACAAAGAATTAAATATTATCATTTATTCGAAAATTTTTTTATTTAAAACCTAAAATTTAATTGTCTCTAAAAATTGCTCTTTATGAAAATTAAATTATTTTCTAGAATTTTATATTAAAATTTAAAATTATTTTCTAAATTAATTATTTTTACTAAATTGTGAAAGAGCCCTTCTAGAGAGTTTAATTATTTAAAAAAAAATTGTTCACTAATATTATATGAATTTTAATTCATATAAAATCCAATTATTTCAATTCAATATTGTGAAATTTTAATCATTCGAATGTTTTTTAATTAAATTGTTTAATAGTCCAAAATTCAACTAATTTCAAAATAAAATTTTAATTACCATTTTCCAAAAAATACAAAGTTCTTTAGAATTTTTAATTAAAGTTACTCAAAAGTCAAATTTTTAAGAATCTTGATAAGAAACCTTTGCAAGTTTTTACTTTATTTTTTATTTATTAATTACTTATTTAATTAATTTCCAATTATTTTCTAAGATTTTTAAGTGAAAATTTACTGTAAATCTAATTTTTTAACATTTTTCAAAAAGTTATTTGAAAATTCAATTACTTAATTACAATTTCATAAATAATAAAATTTTTTATAGGATTTCAATTATTTTTAATACAATTATTTAAAATAAATTCCTCGAAAAATATAATTACTTTCAAATATCAATTATTTTTTATAATTTAAAAAAAAAATTCCTTGAGAATTTTCAAATCCATTTGTTTACAATTTAATTTAATAAAATTTCGATTCTTCGGAAATTCTTGAATTAAATATTTAGAAAAAAAAACTTATGAAATAATTTCAGAAAAAAATTCAATTATACTTCAAAAAAATTTATGATTATCTAAAATTTTAACTGAAATTAATTTTTAAATCAATTTTTATTAGAAAATTCTACGTGAATTCAATTATTTAATTATAAAAATTAATAATTTATTAAACAAATGAATTTTTCTGAAAATTGAATTCTTATAAAGAATTTTATCAACAAATTTGAAAATAATTGAATTTTCGACGAATTTCAATGAAATTTTCAAGAATAATTACATTTTTCGAGGAATTCGATTAAAATTTTATTAAAAATAGTTGAAATTCTGCGATAAGTTTTATTATTCATGAAAATAATTAAATATGTGTAAAAAAAATTTGAAAATAATTGAATTCCTGTGAAATTTTTATTATTTATGAAAATAATTGAATTATTTCGAAAAAATTTGTAAATCATTAAATTCTTTTGGAAAAATTTATTAAAATAGTAGACATTGAAAATCATTGAATTGAGGAAGATTTTTGAAAATAATGGAAGTTTTAACAAGAAAATTGTTGAAAATAATTGAAATTTTGCCAAGAATTTTATTATTTTTAAAAACAATTGAATTTCTGCAATCATTTGTAACTTCTTCAAAATTCAATTTTTTCCAGAATTAAATTTTTCTTCATAAATTATTTTCATAAATAATAAAATTCTTCACAATATTTCAATTATTAAAAAAAATGTAAAAAAATTCATTGCAAGAATTCAATTATTCTCCTAAATAATAAAATTCCTCACAGGATTTCAATTATTTTTAATGCAATTTTAAGTAAATTCTTCGAAAAATTTGGAAATTCGAAAATAATTGAATTCTTGCGAAATTTTTATTATTTATGAAAATAATTGAATTATTGCGAAAAAATTTGTAAATCATTAAATTCTTTTGGAAAAATTTATTAAAATAGTAGACATTGAAAATCATTGAATTTCAAGAAAATTTTTGAAAATAATTGTAATTTTGCCAAGAATTTTATTATTTTTGAAAATAATTGAATTTCTGCAATCATTTTTAACTTCTCCAAAATTCAAGTTTTTCCAATACTTTAATAAAAATCCCTGCCTTTTCCCTGACCTGTGGCAACTCTGTTTATCCCTCTTCCAATAATAACCGGTTAAAAAATTGTAAAGAAATAAGGAAATAGACGCACCTCTGACGGAGGTATGAGAATAGAATGATGCCCGCTGTAGATACTGCTAAGGCACCAGAGAGCGAATCCCAATCCGGAATAGGGGTCCAGACAGAGAGCGATATGACGAGAGGGATAAAGTTCGCAGGACAATTTCATGGCCCGACAGAGGGACGTGACGGCTGCGTGAGACATTTTTATTCCAGCCAGCATTCCCGTTGTCGAGACGCTGAAGTCGAGATAGGCCAACATTTCGGCTGTCGGGGCACGATACATGACTGGCAACTTTTTCTTTGGCATGTCGTCCATGTCGAGGATCGTCGGCCAGCTTTTGATCTCCACGACATTGTTAGCTTCCTGCAATATAATTTAATAATTTCCAATAATTTTCAATCATTACCTCGCATCAAAGAGGAAAATTGTGGAAATAAACGCACCTTAGACTTGAGTAACTTTAAAAGATTCTGATTCGTGAGTATCATCACGGATTTACTGACGTCCACGATCATCTTGACGGTTGGAAGCGTTGTCTGGAGATTCTGCGGATGTGGAGGCCTGATTGTAACGGGAACAGCGCCGACGTACAGACAGCCATAGAAGGCACAAATTAAATCAGTGCCAGGTGGGAAGATAAGAGCCACATGATCTCCAGTATTGATTCTTCCGCGATCGAGAAGTAGATTTCCAATTCGTTCGGCTTTCTTGTGCAGCTGGGAACAAGAGAGTGAGGCGGCGACCGCTCCCTTCGAATTCAAGGACGTAAATATCACATGGTCTGAGGTGCCGACCGCTCGCCATCGCAGAATTTCCGAAATAAATTGATACTGCAACAAATTACAACAAATTTTACATTTTCTACTAATTTTTAACAAGTCAAATAGATCATAATTATAATTAAGATTCAATAACTTTGTTAAATAAATATTTAAATACATATTGATAACTATTTATCTACATGATTTAAAACTTTTAAGCATTTCAATTTCAAACCTGAAATTTTTATTTCTTTTAATTTTAATTATTCTTAAGAATGTTTAATTGAAATAATTTGAAATTCAAATTTACAAAAAAATCCAATTAGAGTCCTTTTGAAATTTAATCATTTATCCCTAATTTCTACTATAATTCTCGTGGAGAATTTTGTTTAAATTTTTGAAAATTCTAATTAAATTTTTTTTGAAGAATTACTTTGATTTTTTTTTTAAAATAATGGAGTTTCTTTAATAATTTTAATAAGAAATTTTGAAAATAATTGAATTTTATCAACAATTTCTTTCTAGTTTTTAAAATAATCGTGTTTGTTTATTATTGAAATTAAACATTTAAATATTAAATTTTATTAAAATTTTAGAAAATAATTCAATTCTTTTGAAAAATTTTATAACGAATTAAATAAAAATTGAATTCTTTCGTAAAATTTTTTGGAAAATAATGAAATTTTTTGCAAAGAATTTTACTATTTATAAATATAATTGAAACGAATTAAGAAAAAAATTCAATTCTCTCGTGAAATTTTTTTGAAAATAATTGAATTTTTGCAAAAATTTTACTATTTAAAAAAATAATTGAATTGTTTCGAAGAATTTATCAAAATTTTAGAAAATAATTGCATTCTTGCGAAGAATTTTATTTTATTTATTTAGTAATTTGCATAATAATAGCTTATTATTATAACAATAACTTTACTTTTTATTTTGAATTTTAAAATTAATGTATTCAAAATCATCGAATTGTTGCAAAGAATTTAATAAAAAAACTTGATAATAATAGAATTCCGTCGAAAATTGAAAATTGAATTCTCGCGAAGAATTTTGTTAAAAATTTTAAAATCCTAATTAAATTCTTTTTGAAGAATAACTTTGAATTTTTTTTTTAAATAATGGAGTTTCTTTAATAATTTTAATTAGAAATTTTGAAAATAATCGAATTTAATTAATATTTTTAGAAATAATTTTATTCTTTCGAGAAATTTAATAAAATGTGACTCATGATAATTTGGCGCTGTCACCTTTTTGGCACTGTCGCTGTCCTCGTCTAGGACTCCCATGTCTCTGCCCTGGGCCGAGGCGAGCCTGTTCCCCTGGACGATGTTGCCGACCATGACGCTGGCTGGACCCACGTCTGCAACAGAATCCCCCGCTACACGCCCCCGTATATTTCGTTAGTAAACCAACGCAAAAGCTCAACTCAGAAATGAGTAACTCTCTCGAACTCTCCCCTGACTGAGGCCGGAAAGCATAATTGAGACTTGTCCAATAAACAACGTACAAAAAACACGAGGAATTACAAAACGTTCTGAACTCAGCCAAAAGAAAGAAAGGAAAACCGAAATAAGGGAATAAAAAAAAAACATTCTCTGGGGGTGGGGTGGTGGTAATTATGACCAAAAGGGCAATTAAACAAGGTCAGTGCCATTTCTTTTGTTTACTCACGATTCTTATTCAATCTGCGACGGGCCTTTAAGCGCGCGGCTCTCTCCCTCTTTTTTCCAGCTATTTTATCTATTAAATCTACTCATCTAATGCTGAATCGAGCCAAGCCTTGATAATCACTTACCGGAATGTACTTCACGAGGTTTTGGTAAATTTGTCACGCAAGTATGAGGACAGAGGAGGACATTTGCCGGGTGGAGTGTGCCCTCCAGGAAGCGTCTCTTCGTCTCGGAGAGGTGGATTCCACCCAGGGGCGTCTTGGGCAAGTAGTTCGGCGGCACCAGCGCGAGGCAGTAAATTCCCACGGCGTGGATCGAGTCCACGGCCTGCAGCACTCTCGACATCCACTGGAAGCTCTGCAAGTTTACAAATTTTATTATCATATTATTATCATATTAAAAATCATTCATTTATAATTATTACCTTGTACAAAAAAATTTCTTCTATTTCTAAAAAATTCTGAAAGAATAGCAAAAAAAAGAGTTTTAAGTCCATTTTTTTCGAATGAGCTAAAAAATTTTCTAACTTACAAATACAAAGGACATTTTTTGTAATCTTTTTTTAAAAGCCTATAAGAGAGAAAATGTACGATTTTAGGTATTTTAGGAAATGTTATTAATTTAATGAAATAAAGGAGATTATATAAAAAGAGGAGAATTTTGATCAATTAAAGTTCAAGGAAAGAAATAATTTTTTGAAAACAAACCTCTTCTTCACTGCAATCGGGTCGTTGTTCAGCGACAACACATATCCTCTCGTCCCGCAAGACCCGGACACTAAACACAGCAATTCTGCCTCGATAAATAAACTTGGTTGGTTCGACAGCTAAAACAGTGGCAATTATATCGTCCGCATTGTGCTTCCTGCCGGTGACAGTCATGAGTCCGTCACGCGAGCCACAGACGAAAACAAGTCCTCCAGGTCCCAGGAATCCGAGGAGACCCGAACGTGTGTACTCCTCATTGCCCAGGGCGGTTCCTTCTGCTTGCAAAGGTGCCACTTTAAAAGTATTATTAGTCAGTCCTTGCAATCCCCAATATTGATTTCCAGTCGTTTGATTATGCACACATATCTCTCCAACTTCGTCTGTTTTGCAAATGTTTGCTGGTCCTTCCATTTTTATCACGACTACGACACCTGAAAACAAAATTTTTTTTTTCTAATCAATCTTGCTTTTTTCCTCACAGTAAATGAAAGAAGAAAGGAAAAATTTTAAGTCAGGTCTTCACTTGACAAATTTGCAAAATAGAAATTACCTATCAGGTAATTATCAGGTAAATTACCTATCACAAAATAGGTAATTACCTATCAGTACAATTTCCAATTTTGTTTTCAAATTTCTTTAAATATTTAATTTAAATTATAAATTTAATTATTTCAACGAAATAATATTCTTGGAATAGAAATAAATGATTTACACTTTGCACCGAAACACAGTTCCCTAATTGGAAAATACCCGCTTTCTATCAAAACAATAAAAACGCTTGCACTTGAATAAATTTTCTTTTTATGTATTTGATTCAATATTGAATGTTAGGCAGCGAATTTAATGCACATATTCCAAGAAATTATTTCCATACTTTCTATGAAATAACTTATTTAATGTTTTCTAATAATAAATTTTAGGGTGCAAGAATAAGAGAAAATAACGACAATTTAGTAAAGTTCATAAAAAAAAAATTCCCGGTCATAAAGAAAAACTCTCAAAAATTATTTTTAAGATTCCAATTTAATTATTTTCTAGAAATTTTAACTAAAATTCTTCTTTAATTCAATTATTTTTAATATTTTGAGAATTTTAATTTTAATATTTGAGAAATCTCCTTAAAAATTCAATTATTTCCAAAAAAAAGTTTCACAAAAACTAAAATATTTATAAAATCCACTTTGTTTACAAGATTATAAAATTTCGAATAATTTGGAAATTTTCCAATCAAATGTATATTTAAAAATATAAACAATTTCAAAAAAAAAAAAGTGTGAATAAAAATGTTTCAAGAAACTAACTTATTCATAATTTTTAATTAAAATTTTTTACAGTTCTACTTTCCTAAAACTTTAATTTTAAAAACTTTTTGAAATTCAATCTGTATTAATAATATTAGTAATATTTATCTTACATTCTAAAATATAAAAATAGTTACTTAAAAATTATTGCAGAAAAAAAATTGACATTAATGCAAAATACGGGTTTTAAAAAATTTATTTTCTAAAAAAACAGAATTTTATTTATTTTAATCTTTAATGTCTCGTCCAACTTAGAATTCAAAAATTAATTTTTACAAATTTCGCATCACTTTATTTCTTCTAATTAGTTCAAATATTTACTAATTCAAATTTAGGAAATGAGTTTTGTGACAATATTATTGTAAAAAAATTTATAAATTTATTTATTTTTCACTATTTTATAATGTGACATTTTTTCTATTTTAAAATATAACATTTTATATTAATTTTTGTAATTTTTTGTATCTTTTTATAGTTTTGAATCTAAAATAAGTTAAATTTTTGCTTAGAATTTTATTAAAATTTTTGAAAATAATTTAATTCATTTTGAAGAATTTTATGGAAATTTTGTCAAAACATTCAATATTTCAATTTAAACAAAATTTTAATTAAAATCCTCTCTTTTATCTAATATTACACGAGGAAGCAATAAATCTTAACATTTAGATATTTTTAAATTTAGCTCTACTTGACTTTTATTATTAAAATAAAGTTACAAGTAAATCTAATTTCTCTTTAAACGAAAGTTTTGACATTCACTTTAACAACAGGGTTCCTTCAAAATATGCAATTTCATGTCCTGGAAGTTTAAATCACTTTTAAGCTTCACTGAAACTGTTGGAAAAAGATATTTAAATTAAATAATATTAAGCCATGAAATTTTAATAAAATAAAAAAAAATGTCTTATAATTTCATTTAAATTTTAGTATTTTTAATATAAAAATTGTAAAATAGGATTTAATATTTCTTTTTTTCCTCGTGTTTACAGTTTAAATTCTATTTGTTTTTGTTGAAACATTGAAATTTCTTGATTCACGGTTCGTATTTACAAAGACAAAGTACTTTTTATAAAACAATGAAAAGAAGAATATGTATCTATGCAGGAAATTAAAATTTAAAATTTTTAGAGTCATACAATAAAAATAAAATTGAGAGTAGTAAACTGAAAAAAAATGGGAGTCATTGATGGCGTGTAGAGAGTTTCCAAGATTCAAAGAAGATCATTTATTTACACGCTATATTGTTTGTAATACCTTTTAAGAACGGTATATATAATTTTTTATTTTTAGAAATTTGTGAATATAATTTATGAAACGTTAAGAATAAAGTACTGACATAAAGAGTTAACTACTCGATTTACTCTTGCATTTTACGCATTTCACTGCACATCTAGGACTAAGAACAAACCTCACAGTGAAACTGCGAGCGGAAAGTTGACAAATACCATGTAATGTAATTCAAGCACGTGAAACTAAATCTTGTGTTTGTGCATTGTACTTGAGTTGCACTGATAACTAATTGAGAAAAGTTTGCTTCTAGTTGCAAAACAACAATAAACATTTGTCTTATGGTTTAGAATTTTTATTTTTTATTATATTCCCTTTTTTAATCAATTTTAAATTCTTTTTCAAAATTCATGAGAATAACAAGAATGAGAATTACAGAATTTTTTATTTTCAAATATCAACTTCAATTTTTCAATTATTTTAGATTCAAAATTTTTAAAAAATCCTCTCTTTAATCAATTACTCAAATTATTATCAAAAAAATAATCAAATACTCAAATTTCTTAAATTTTTGGATTATTTGATAGAAAATAACATTTATTTACGAATCTCATTAATTGCAAAATTATTCGAAAACATCAAATAGTTTTATTTAAAATAAATATTTAATCATTATTATCTTAATCCATAGGAATTAAAATGTTCAAAAATTTAAAAATTCAAATCTTATGAAATTCAACAACTTATAATAATTATAGATGACCGAGTGATAAAATCATTATTTTATATTATAAGAATATTGTTACTCCAACTTATTTAAAATTATTTTCATCGTTTCAATTCAATTAACATTTTCTAGAATTTTTAACTAAGATTCTTCTTCAAATCAATTATTTTTAATATTTTTTGAAATTGATAAAATTGGATTTTTTTAAAAATTAAAAAAAAACTTTTTTTATTTTTGATTGTTAACTTCTTCCACATTTGAATTTTTGAAAAAGTTATTCGAGAATTTTCAAATCCATTTGTTATTTATAAAAAGATAATTGATTCTTTGCAAGAACTTTATTTGAGAGTTTTGAAAATAATTTAATTTCTGCGAAGAATTTTATGAAATTTTTGAAAATAATTGAATTCCTGCTAAAAATTTTGTTATTTTGGAAAATAATTGAATTTCTGCGAAGAATTTTGTTATTTATTATGAGAATTGAATTTTTGCCAAGAATTTTATTACATTTTTCAATAATAATTGAATATCGGTAAAAAAAATTATGAAAAGTTTAGAAAGTAATAATTGAATTTCTACGAAGAAGTTTATAATCGAATTTCTGCAAAAATTTTTTATATTTATAATGATAATTGAATTTTTGACACGAATTGTATTAAAATTCTTAAAAATAATGGAATTTCTTCGAAGAATTTTGTAAAAAAATTTTCAAATAGTTTAATTCCTACTAAGAATTTTGTTCTTTATGAAAATAATTGAATTCTTGCGAAGAATTTTTTTATTTACAAAGATAATTGAATTCTTGTCAAGAACTTTATTAAAAGTTTTAAAAAGAATGGAATTTTTGCGAAGAATTTTATGATAATTTTTGAAAATAATTGAATTCCTGCAAAAAATTTCGTTATTTTTGAAAATAATTGAATTTAGGAAAAGAATATTATTATTTATATAAAGATAATTAGAATTTTGAAGAGAATTTTTAAATAGTATATTTAATATAATTGAATTTCTGTGAAGATTTTTATTACTTTTGAAAATAATTGAATTTCTGCAATCATTTGTAATTTCTCTAAAATTCTCCAAATTATATCGTATAATTTACGAACGTTTCGTCCTTTTTCAATGAAATTACGGTTCTTTTTCCCAAAAAACTGACTTTTACGGACTTCAAGCAAATTTACGGATCTGATTCGAGCCCTGTAATAATAAAAGGTAAAAAAAATTTTTACACGAATACATTCGGACAAGTGGTTTTTTAATATAAAAATTACTCCAATTAAAATCAACTCTGAGGACGTAAAAGTTTATTCAATAAAAAGGTGACAAAAGGAGAAAAAGGGACTTTCTGTGATGCCTACATAAGATTTAACAAATTTCAATATGACAAAAGAAAAATTGAGAAGAAAGTAAAATCTGACAGAGTATTGGTGAAATGAATATAAAAATTTATTAGTTGTATTATTACTATTATTTTGAAAGTAGAGAATAAAAAAAATGAAGTATTGGAAACTATCTAAAACGTGGGAAGCAATAAATCCGAGGAAAGGATATAATTATGAGTACTCACTGCCGGGCATGACTTGACCGCAATCCTGGAGAGTCAGTGACGTAAGTGAATTCTCCTGGTCGACGCGAACGACGCCGTAGCTGAGGCCCGACATGGACAAGACGCCCCTGCCCGTGGCGTTGACACCCGCGCGACCGGGCCGCCGAATGGAGACCGTGAGAGCCTCGCTGGACGAGGCGCAGGGGCACACGGCGTCCGGGCGCAGGCCCTTCGACTGGAACACCGAGAGGAACTGGTCGCACGAGGACAGCGACCAGGGGTTCGCGCCGTCGGCCACGAGCAACAGCCGGAGGGACGACAGCGTGATGTCCTTGTGGTCCTTGGTGGCCAGCAGGCCCCAGTGCAGGTCCCGGGACTTGACCACGGCCACGCTGGCGCGGTGCTTGGTGATCATCTGCATCCAGCTGGCCGGGTTCACCTTCATCAGCGCGTAGGGGATGAAGATGACGTGCATGCCGTTGAGGATGCTGGTGAGGGTCGCGTGCCACAGGCCCACCTCGCGCTTGAAGTCGAGCACGCAGACGGCGATCTCGCCCTCGGTGTAGCCGCAGGCCTGCGTCAGGGCGCGGCAGTGCGAGAGCATCGCCGCCCGGGTCACCGTCACGCCCATCACGGAGCCGTCCCTGTCGGTGGTGTACTCGATGTAGGCGGGCGTGTCGTCCGTGAGGCGCGGCGGCGGCAGCCAGTCCTTGGGCGTCTTCGCCAGGTGCTCGGTGACGAACCAGTGCAGCTTCGGCCAGCCCTTGAATGCCACCACCTCGCCCGCCGTCGTCTTCGGAAGACCTTTCAGGCATGCTTCACTTGTCAACGCCACCTGTCGAATCATCACAATATTTTCAGTCCAAAAATAAAAAATATTCAAACGAAAATAATTTTTTATCACATTTTCATTTAATTTCATTAATTATCGCACTTGATAATTAATTTTAAAAAAAGTATATCGAAAAGTACCTTTAAAACTTAGAAAAATAGTAAAAAAAAAAGCAGCTATCAAAAAATTAAACTTGAAGACCAAAAAAACTCACGTTAGACACTTAACAAAACTGACAAAAATTCCCTTCTTTATTTTATTTTCCTGACTTTTTCCTAATTTTCATCAAAAATATTTACTTCTTTCTTATCCTGATAATAAATTGAATTCCTGCAACGAATTTTATTATTCATGAAACAATTAAAACATTAGAAAAATAATTTAATTCTTGCAAAGAATTTTATAAAAATTTCTAAATAATTCATTTCTTTCGACTAATTTAATGAAAATTCTAATTTAAATAATTGAATACCTGAGAAATTTTTATAATTCATGAAAAGAATTGAATTCTTATGAAAATTTCTACAAATAATTTTTTAAATAATTCAGGGTTCGAACCAGTGAAAGTATTTAAAAATACGGATATAACGGACCAAAAATGAAAAATTATGGACCATTTACGGACCAATTTCTGACAAAATTAAAATCAGTCTGAGTCAAACAAAAGAACATTTTACTTAACATGAAGATATCGATAACTCCGAGTGATCAATTTCTTCATGTTTTATAATAATTAAAGATGACCAAGTGATAAAATCATTATTTAAATTTAATTTTAATAAATCCTTCGAAAAAATTCATTTATTTTTAGAAATATTAAAATTTTTCGCGAGAATTCAATTAATTTTAAAAAATAGAAAAATTCTTTGCAGGAAGTCAATTATTTTCAAAAAATAATAAAATTTTTTAAAAAAATTCAATTATTTTCGAAACAACTTTAATTGAATTTCTCGAAAAAATTTCATTATTATCAAATATTTCTATAAAATTCTTCATAACAATTTAATTATTTCTTAAAATTTTTAAAAATTCTTTCGAAACATTTCAATTATTTTTATAAATAGTAAAATTCTTCGCAAGAATTAAATTGTTTTCAATTCAATTTTAATAAAAATCTTTTTCATAAAATTTAATTGCTTTCGAAATTTTCAATTAAAATTATTAAAGAAATTCCATTAGTTCAAAAAAAAAATTAAAAGAATTTTTTCAAAAGAATTAGAAAATTTTTTGAAAATAATTGAAATTAGGACAAGAATTTTTTTGACATTTATGAACATAATTGAATTTTGGAGATGAATTTTATTATTTATAAAGATAATTGGGATTTTTACGAGAATTTTTTTTCAAATTTTGAACATCAATGAATTTTATAAGAAGAATTTTATTTTTTTTTTTAAATAATTGAATTTCTGCAATTATTATTTGTAATTTCTCCAAAATTGAATTTTTCTAGTGTTTTCAACAAAAATTTAAATTAGCAAATTTTTAAATTCAATTATTTTTATAAATAATAAAATGCTCTTTATGAATTCAATTGTCTTTAAAAATATTAAAATTCTACTCCAAAATTTAATTATTTTCAAAAATTTTAATACAATTCTTGACAAAACTTTAATTATTTTCAAAACAATTTCTCAATTAATTGATTTTTATTATTTATTATTTTAGTAAAATTTTCCAAAGGAATTCAATTATTTAAATACAAAAAAAAAAACAATTTATTGAACAATTGCATGTTTCTTAAAATTGAATTCTCATAAAAAATTGTATCAATAAACTTTTAAATAATTAAATTCTTTTGACGAATTTTAATAAAAATTTTAAAAATAATTACATTTTTACGAGGAATTTTAAAAGAATTTTATTATTTACCAAAATAATTGAATCCCTGTAAAAATTTTATTATTTATGAAAATAATTGAATGATTGCGAAGAAATTTATAACAAAATTTGGAAATAATGAAATTCCTGTGAAATTTTTATTATTTTTAAAAAATAATTAACGGTTTGTGTAGAATTATATTAAATTTTTTTTTTAAATTATTTAATTCTTTTGGAAAAATTTATTATAATAGTAGATACCTATTAAAAATTATTGAATTGAGGAAAATTTTTGAAAATATTTGAAATTTTGCCAAGAATTTTATTAAAATAAAAATAATAATTATATTTTAATAATTATTTTTATTTTGCTCGGAAGACAAAAAAATCTTCGAAAGTATTCAGTTATTTTAAAATTTTTTTATAAATTTCTTCGCAAGAATTCAATTTTCATATTCAAGTTTTCATATAAATAATAAAATTCTCTATAGAAATTCAATTATTATTGAATACAATTTTAATAAAATTGCTCGAAATAATTACAAAAAAAATTCTTCGAAGGAATTGAATTATTTTGAAATTTTTTTGATAAAATTCTCCGGAAGAATTCAATTATTTTCAATGCATTAATTTTAAAATTGAAAAAATTTAAATAGGAAAATTATTTTAAAAAAAGGAAGACAAACATCAACTAAGTTGAAACTGCGAACAGATTACAGGAAAAGAACGATTATTAAAATAGAAGAATGATAGAAGATAGATGGAAGATAGGATTGACTTGTTGGTAATAAGTAGTGAGTAATAAATAAATACCTGAATGCCGCAGCTGCCTAGTAGGAAGCCGATTTGCTGGGAGCCAGCATCCCGGCGAGTCAGAGGGACCTCTATTGGAACAGGGACGATTCCAGCTTGAAGACACCCGTAGAAAGCACAAAGAAAGCTGATTGGGTCGTTGTTCGGATAAACTAGAGCGATTCTGTCGCCCGGCTTGAGGCAGCAGTCGCCGGCACGACTCAATGTTTTGTTTAATAAAGTGTAGGCTATCTTATGGGAGCGGCTTAGAAGTTTGCCATATGTCAAGGTTATGCAGAGTTTGCCATTCGGATCCAAAACCGTCGCAGCTGGTGCCTTGTATGTAGCTGAGCCGTACCTGAAACAAAAACAACAATATTTAATTTCCTATATAAAAATTTGAAAACCAATTTTCAAATTAGGTCTATTGTTGAGAGCCACAAATTTAAAAACATTAAATCAGGGTTGCCACAGATCAGGGAAATCAGGGAAAAGTCAGGGATTTTTATTAAAGCACTGGAAAAAATTTAATTTTTAGAATTTATAAGAAAATTCTCAATTTTTGTGTCCTTTTTGTTTGCCTCATAAACTATAAAATTAACACGAATGAAAATTAAAAAAATTTTATTTTTAAATATGAATTTTTGAAGAATTTCAAATTCAAATTTTAAAAAAATTCAAGACTGGATCCATTTCAAATCAGGCAGGACGACTAACTTCAAGAAATAATTATTAGGTAACTACTTTACTAATTCATTATTCTTGTTTATTAATTTCAAAAATTTTAATAACATTTCACGGACGAATCAAATTATTTTCTAAAATTTTAATAAATCCTTCGAAACAATTCAATTATATTCAAAACCAATTTCACGAAAGAATTCAATTTTTTTTTCTTAATTCGTTCTAATAAAAAATTTCAATAGAATTTAATTATTTTCTAAAATATTAATAAATTCTTCGAAAAAATTCAATTATATTTATAAACAGTAAAATTCTTTGCATTCAATTATATTCAAAATAATTTCACAAAAGAATTCAATTTTTTTAATTCGTTATAAAACTTTTACAAAAAATAGAATTATTTTCTAAAATTTTAATAAAATTCAATAATTATAAATGTTGAATTTCAATTATTAAGAAACACGATTATTTTAAAAACTTGAAAGAAATTGTTCATAAAATTCAATTATTTAAAAAAAAATTAAATTAAAACGATTAAAGAAACTCCATTATTTAAGAAAAATTTAGAGAAATTCTTCAAAAAGAATCTAATTAGATAAAATTCTACGCAAACATTAAATTATTTTCGTAAATAATAAAAATTTTACATTAATTCAATTATTTAAGAATTTTTTAAAAAAATTTCTTAGCAATAATTCAATTATTTTCATAAATAATATAATTATTCGCAGGAATTCAATTATTTTGTTCAATAAATAAAAATTCTTTTTAGGAATTAAATTTTTTTTATAAATAATGAAACTCATTGTAGAATTTCAATTATTGTTAATTCAATTTTAATGGAATATTGCTCAAAAAATATATTTATTGTTAAAAATTTTATTAAAATTCATCAAATTAAATTTTAATAAACATTTAATTATTCAAAAAATTATTTATTTTTGTATTTAAATAATTGAATTCTCGTAGAAGTTTTTAATAAAAATTGATTTAAAAATATATTTCAGATAAAATTGCAACAATAACATTTCTTTTGACGAATTTTAATAAAATTTTTTAAAACAAGTACATTTTTCGAAAAATTTATTTTAAATTGCATTAAAAAATAATAATTATTATTATTCATGAAAAAAATTGAATTCTTGCAAGGAAAATGATACTTTTTTTTTTTTAAAAAAATTGAATTCTTTAGAGCAATTTATTAAAATAGTAAGATTTTGAAAATATTTGAATTTTAGAGAAGAATTTCATTATTTGTAAAATGTTATTGAATTTTTGCAAAAAATTTTTGAAATTAATTACATTTTTCGAGGAATTTATTTAGAATTGTATTAAAAAAAATTGAAATTCTATGAAAATTTTTTATTATTCATGAAAATAATTGAATTATTGAAACGAATTTTGTTACATTCTTTTAAATAATTGTATTCTTTTAGAAAACTTTATTATTCATGAAAATAATTGAATTCTTTTGGAAAACTTTTGTTATTCATGAAAATAATTGAATTCTTGCAACGAACTTTATACCATTTTTTTTTTAAATTGAATTCTTTTGGGAAATTTTATTAAAATAGTAGATTTTGAAAATATTTGAATTTTAGGGAAGAATTTCATTATTTGTGAAATGTAATTGAATTCTTACAAAAAAATTTCAAAAACAATTATTATTTTTAAAGAATTTATTTAAAATTGTATTAAAAATAATTGAAATCTTATGAAAAATTTTATTATTTATGAAAATAATTTAATTCTTACCTACAACGAATTTTTTTACATTTTTTTAAAGAATTGAATTTCTGTGAAAAATTGTATTACTTGTAAAAATTTAATATTTAAATTATTTTAAGTTGTTGAACTACAAAAAAGTTTGAATTTGAAATTTTTTGAAAATCTCAATTCTTTTGGAATAATAATAATGATTAAATATTTATTTAGAAAAAAAGTTATTGTTTTCGAATAATTTTACAATTAAAGAAATTCGTAAATAAATGTAATAGAATATTTTTTTGAGTAGTTAATAATTTTTAGAGTAAATCAGAATATTTTTTAGATTCACGGAAAAAGTAAAAATTTTGTCTGGAAATCAGGGAAAAGTCAAGGAAAAACAAAATTTAATTTTTCCGGCAATCCTGATTAAATGAATCACAATACACAGTTGATTCTGAAGAATTTGATTCGTTACGGAATAATTCCAGTGAAATTGCCTTATAAGGAAATTAGGAAAGAAAAGTTAATTTTTAATGAGAGGAAAATTGGAAAGAATCTTGTGTTGCAGCCTTTTTGCAAGACGCGCGCTGTTACATCACCCAAAACAAGAATATTCATCTCGAATATTCACTTTCACCGTTCTACAGCCATATTTGGATAAAAGGTTCGAAATGAGAGATGTTAAAATATTCATGTTTTGTAAACACGTGGGTGTGTAGAATTTTTCTATTCTACTTGTGACTCTGGAGCGTGTGCTTTATCTAAACACGTTATGAAAACAATTTGTGCCATTATTATTATTATTATTCTTATACACACGCTGCGCTTGTGCTTGTGCTGGTGAGCGCGCTGAGAAATGTGGACAATCCAGTTTCTGCCTATCACGATGCACGATGAAGTTAAGTAAATTAGGGGGATCAAATTACTTTTACTGTTCTAGCATCAACTATACGCTTTTATTTCAAAATATCAGGTTCAATCGTTCGAAATTTTATTTTTCAATTTATTATATTTTCCCATTGCGCTATCTTTAAAGTTCATTTAATTCATTTAATTCATTTAATAATTATTATTATAATATGTAAATCCTTTCATTAAACTTCATAAGGATTTACTTTTTCCTTCAATTTCCGTTTCGGTCTTTTTCATTATTCTCTAAGTATTGGTATTTATTGCCAATTACAAGATTAAAAATTTCTACTATAATATAATTATTATCAAGGTTGTCACGCTTTTGCTAATTTCAAATTTTGACAAAATTTTGACTTTTTCCCTGAATCTAAAGAATATTCTGATTCACTCTTAAAATTATTAGATACTCAAATAAATGTTCTATTACATTTATTTACGAATTTTTTTAATTGTCAAATTATTCGAAAACATCAATAACTTCATTTTTAAATATAAATATTTAATCATTATTATTATTATTCCAAAAGAATTAAGATTTTCAAAAAATTTCAAATTCCCATTTTTTTTGAAATTCAACAACTTATAATAATTTAAATATTAAATTTTTACAAGCAATAAAATTTTTCACATGAATTCAATTATTTTCATAAATAATACAATTTTTTGCAAGAATTCAATTAGATTTCACAAATAATAAAATTCTTCCCTGAAATTCAAATATTTTCAAAATCTACTGTTTTAATAAAATTTCTCAAAAGGAATTCAATTTAAAAAAAAATATCATAAATTCGTTGCAAGAATTCAATTATTTTCATGAATAATAAAGTTTTCCAAAAGAATTCAATTTAAAAAAAAAAACTATCAAAATTCGTTTTAAGAATTCAATTAGGTATTTTCATAAATAATAAAATTTTTCATAAATTATTTTTAAAAAAAATGAAACAAAATTATTTGCAAGAATTCAATTATCTTCATAAATAATAATATTCTTCACAGGATTCCATGTATTTTTAAGACGAAAAATTTATTGAAAAAATTTATTAAAAAAATTATCAAAAATTTTATTGAAATTCTTTAAAAGAAATCAATTATCAACTATTTTTAATAATTGTTAAAAAAGTTCCTTGAGAAATTTCAATATTCAATTATAATCTAAAATTTTAACTGAAATACATTTTTAAATAAATATTTATTAGAAACTTCTACACGAGAATTCAATTATTGAAATACAAAAATAAATTATATATTTCGAATAATTGAATATTTCTCAAAAATAAATTCTCATAAAAAATTTTATTAACAAATTTTTAATTAATTGAATTCTCTTGACAAATTTTAATAAAATTTTTAAGAATAATTTCATTTTTCGAGAAACTTGATGAAAATTGTATTAAAAATAATTGAAATTTTGCCAAGAATTTTATTAAAATTTTAGAAAATAATTGAATTTTGGAGAAGAATTTTATTGCTTGTTAAAAAAATAATTGGCATTTTTATAAATTTTTGAACATAATTGAATTTCTGCGAAGAATTTTATTATTTTTAAAAATAATGGAATTCTTGAGACGAATTTTATTAAAATTTCTTTTTAAATAATTGAATTCTTTTGTGAAATTTTATTGAAATAGTAAACATTGAAAATAATTGAATTTTGACAAATTTTTGTAATTAATTAAATTTCTATGAAGAATTTTATTGAAATTTTTGAAAATACTTGAATTTTGTAAAAGAATTTTATTCTTTATAAAGATAATTGAAATTTTAACGAGAATTTAAAAAAAATTGTTAACATAATTTAACATAATTCATTATTTTTAATAATTAACCAGCAACAATTCACGCGCTAAAGCGCGCGGCTAACTTCTTACTACCTTTTTTAAATAAAATTAGTAATTTTAAAAATAATAGAATTTAAAAACTTTCAAATTTAAATTTTTGTTGAAAACACTAAAAAAATTACATTTTGGAGAAATTACAAATAATAATTGCAGAAATTCAATTATTTTCAAAAAAATAAAATTCTTCATTATAAAATTCATCTATGTTCAAAATTTGAAAAAAATTCTCGTAAAAATCTCAATTATCTTTATAAATAACAAAATTCTTCTCCAAAATTCAATTATTTTCATAAATGACAAAAAAATTCTTGTCCTAATTTCAATTATTTTCAAAAAATTTTCTAATTCTTTTGACGAATTTCTTTTAATTTTTTTTTTAAACTAATGGAGTTTCTTTAATAATTTTAATTGGAAATTTTGAAAGCAATTGAATTTTATGAAGAAGAATTTTATTGATAGTGAATTAAAAAAATAATTTAAATCTTGCGAAGAATTTTACTATTTATAAAAATAATTGAAATGTTTCGAAAGAATTTATTAAAATTTTAAGAAATAATTAAATTGTTATGAAGAATTTTATAGAAATATTTGATAGATAATAATGAAATTTTTTCGAGAAATTCAATTAAACTTGTTTAAAAAATAATTGAATTTCTTTAAAGAATTTTATTAAAATTAACTATATTCAAAATAATAGAATAAGAATTTTATTATTTTTTGAAAATAATTGAATTTTTTCCATTTTTTTCACAAATATATTTAAAAATTACATTGAAAGTAATTTAATTTTTATATATAGAATTTTTTAAAAATATTTTGAGAATAATTGAATAATTTTTTAGTGAATTTTAAATTCTTCTTAAATGTTGAATTTCATGGAAATTTTTGAAAATAATTAAATTCTTTCGTGTCATTTTATTGAAATTTGATTAAAAATAATTTAATTCCAGCAAAGAATTTTAGTATTTATAAAAATAGTTGAATATTGTTTCGAAGAATTTATTAAAATTTCAGGAAATAATTGAATTTTTTGGAAATATTTAAAAATATTTGAATTCATCCGAGGAATTCAATTAAAATCTATTTTGAAAATCATTGAATTTTTGTAAAGATTTTACTATTGAATTCCTGCAAAGAATTTTTCGATTTTTTAAAATTAATTGAATACTTGCGAAAAATTTTACTATTTATAAAAATAATTGAATTTTTTCGATGGATTTATTAAAATTTTAGAAAAAAAATTGAATTCTTCCGAGGAATTTAATTAAAATTTTGTTTTTGAAAATCATTTAATTTTTGTTAAGATTTTACTAGGATTTAAAAATAATAATCTAAGGATAACAAAAGTATAAACAAGACAACTTCAGAGTGTGAGGGACAAACAAAGTGAGTGAATAAAAAGCAATAAAAAGACATTCTATAGTTAATTATAGTTAATTATCAAAAGAAAAAATTACTACCGAAGTGAGGAATTATTAATTTAGTTGAAATTTCGTGATTTTCGAAAAATCCGTGAGAAGAAAATAACAAATTCTGTTTCCCCACGTTTTTTTTTATTTTAGGACTTTGGAGGGTTTGCTTGGGTTAAAAATAAACAAAAAAAAAATCTGTATCCTGAACTTTTAAAAGAAATTAAAAAAAAAAAAATTTTTCGTTGAATCAACTTTGGTAACTTCAGTTTCATCTGGTTTCATAATAAAATTGATAAAAACGTACATATGTGGCCACTCTTGTTGAGAGCGAAAGGATGTAAATATTTGGAAGAAAAATAAAAAGTAGAAGAGCGAGTTTTTTAAAGGCTAATCTTACCTTAGAATCGCGGCCTCGAGCGACCTTGGCAGTCCGGAGGCCACGGACATCTGCTCGCCGACCGCAGAGGTCATCGACCCGCCCTCGGGTTTGGGTGCGTTGGGGTCCTTGGGGTTGGCGGCGATCTCGAGCTCGATGTCGTCGTCCTCGTAGAACTCGGGCAGCGGTCGGCGCTTGGGCCGCTTGAGCGTGTTGAGTAGCTGCTGAATTTTAGCGGACACTTTCCAGCGGCCGGTGGTGCCGGTGTTGTTGTCCTCGACCGCGTGGTAGCGGTTGACGTGGTCGGCGATGACGGGCCGCCGATTCTGCGTGGTGTGCGTGACGTCGGGCGGCTGCACCAGGTTGCAGTAGGCGTGCGGCGAGTACTCGGCGATGTCGGTGATGTCGGCGGGCGGGCGCCTGGCCGGCGGTCTCGGCGGCGGCGGAGTGTCGCGCGCCGACCCCGTGCTGCTGGTGTCGGAGAGGCCCGTGCCGCTGGGGCCGCCCGCGCCCGGACTCTCCTCCGTCACGACGCTGTCCTCGTCGCTGCTCGAGTCGCCGACCCCTCCGCCGTCGCGGCGCTCACGCTCCGGACTCCGCGCCATCACGGACGTCCTCTTCGATGGCATCGGCAGCGAGGGCTTCGGTCGGCTCTGCATCGCCGCCAGCGCCTGCTGCACAGCTTCCTGGCGCACCTCTGAGGCAAAACATTATACTTTTATAATCAAAACAAATATTTGTAGCTTGTACCCTTCACTCAGGAGTTTCACATCATCATCATCGTCATTATCATCAACAACAACAGAAGTATCTAATACTTTCAAGAATTACGGGGACTCTTCAAAAAGAACTGGAACAATAGTTATATTTTTCTTGAACATTCCAATCATACCCACGTGAAAAAATACCTCTGGTTTTCTACAAACAATGACTAAAGATCTGTGCAGATAAGAAATTTTTTCAAAAAGGTTTGGAGGCGCATCAGTATAAATATATTCCATTTAAATAACTTCTCGTTTTATATGATACCATTAGTTCGAATATTTATTTCCGACAATTTCCATATAGCTGAATTTAAAATTTCCGAAATTAAATGAATCCCTATTTTTACACGCAGCAACAACGAATTTCAATTTCAATTTCAATTCAAAAGTTTTTATTTAAGAAATAATCTAATCGAATCTTAATTTAAGGAGGTTCTGCAGCTGCTACTTTTGAAAAAATCGATTTTCGATAAATTTTCATCGAGAAAATGTTTCTTTTAAATCTAAAAATTTCAGAACCTTTTGCCATGTCTAAAAACGAGAATTCAGGGTTGCCACAAAAATTTAACTTTTCCCTGATTTCCAGACAGAATTTTGACTTTTACCCTGACCCTAAAGAATATTCTGATTCACTCTAAAAATTATTAGATGCTCAAAAAAATTTTCTATTACATTTATTTACAAATTTCTTCAATAGTCAAATTATTTGAAAACATTAATAACTTCTTTTTTAAATAAATATTTAATTTTTATTTTTCCATAGGAATTAATATTCTTCAAAACATTCAAATTCAAACCTTTTTGAAATTCAACAACTTATAAGAATATTATTACAAAACATGAAGAAATGGATCACTCCGAGTCTTTGACTCGGAGTGCTCCATTTCTTTATGTTTTATAATAATTAAAATTGACCGAGTGACAAAATCATTATTTTATTATTATAAGAATATTGTTACTGTAACTTCTTCAAAATTATTTTCATCATTTCAATTCAATTGAGGAGTCAGTTTTCAAAACCTGATAAATCAAAATTTTTTCATTTCGAGAAATTTAAACAAATGACAATTCTCACATAACCATTAAAATTAACTTAAATGCATAAAAATTGTAACAAATTATTCATTTTTGAATATTTTTTCTGTTTACAACGCTCTGTTTGTAATTAAAGTTTATTGTAATAAGAGAATTTAAAGGTTGTGGTTAATTTTTTTAAATAAAAAAATTAAACATCATAAAGGTTAGGAAAATATATTTTTTAAATTGTAAATTCTTTGGTAATAATTTTTTTATTAAATTGAACAGTGTTAAATTGATTTTTAAGGGCATTTGAACCATGATGACGTCACAGATTTAAAACTAATGCTTTGCACAAACTGTGACGTCATCAAGGTTCAAATCCCCTTAAGGATTTTAATATTTTCAATTTGTGTTTATTTAAATTTATTTGATAAATGAATTTATTAACTGTTGAAAAATTACTCCTCAATTATTATTTTCTATAATTTTCAAATAAAATTCTTCTTTAAATCAATTACATCAATTATACAATTAAACTTTTTCAAAAAAAAAAAAATTAATTCTACAGAATTATTAATTAAACGTACGAAAAAATAATAATTGAATTCTACGAGAATTCAATTATTTAAATACAAAAATAAATAATTTATTCAATAATTGAATGTTTCTTAAAATTTAATATTTTCGTATTAATAACTTTTGAAAATATTTAATTTCTTTTAAGGAATTTAATTAAAATTTTAATGAAATTTATTATATTAAAGAATGGTGTATAACAATTTTTGAAAATAATTAAAAACTTATTGAAGAATTCTATTAAAATTTTTAAAAATAATTGAATTCATGAGAAGAATTTTATTAAATTTTGTTCAAATAATTGAAATTTTGCAAGGAATTTTATTAAAATTTTTGACAATAATTTGATTCTTGAAAAGAATTTCGCTATCTATTTATAAAGATAATTTAATTCTTGACAAGAATTTTTTTAAAATTTTGAAAATAATTTAATTTCTGCAAAGTATTTTATTATTTTTCAAAAGAATTGAATTCTTGTAATTAATTTTTGATATTTATTAAAATAATTGAATTTTGAAAAAGAATTTTATTAAAATTCCTTCGAATAATTGATTTTACGGGAAGAATTTAAGCGATTTTGTTGTTCACCAATTGCAAAAAAAATTTTGCTATTATAAAAATAATTGAATTCTTGACGAGATATTCATTAAAATTTATAAAAATAATTGAATTCGTGCAATTTTATTAAATTTTGTTTAAACAATTGAAATTTTGCCAAGAATTTAATTAAAATTTTTGACAATAATTGAATTTTTGAGAAGAATTTTGATATTTATCAAAATAATTGAATTTTGGAAAAGAGTTTCATTAAAGATCCATAAAATAATTGATTTTATGGGGAGAATTTTTTTGGTTATCAAGATAATTTAATTCGTTTGCAAAATTACATAAAAATTTTTGGAAATAATTGATTTTCTGCGACGAATTAAATGTTATTTATGTAATTATTTGAATTATTATTGCAACGAATTTTATTATTTTATTGAATTATTGAATGTTTCTTAAAATCGAATTCTTTCGTCAAGTTTTAATAAAATTTTTAATAATAATTGCATTTTTCAAGGAATTTATTTAAAATTGAATTTAAAATATTTGAAATTCTGCAATGAAAATAATTGAATTCGTAAATGAAATTTTATTATTTATGAAAATAATTGAATATTTTCGTAGAATTGTATCAACAAGTTTTTTCTATAATTAAATCTGTTGATAAATTTTATGAAAATAGTAAATATTGAAAATTATTAAATTGCGAAAAACTTTAGAAAGTAATTGAACTTTTGCAAAGATTTTTATTTAAATTTTTGAAAATAATTGAATTTTTTTTATTTATTTGAAAATAATTGAATTCTTGGGATGAATATTTTTATTCATGAAAATAATTGAATTTTGTAAAGAATTTTATTAAAATTCCTAAAAACTTATTGAATTTTTGTGAAGAATTTTGTTATTTATCAAAATAATAAATTGCATTAAAACTTTTGTGATAATTAAATAATATTCAGAAAAATTCATTCTTGACATAAATAGAAATTTTTATTTGAAGGTTTTGTATTAGAATTAGTGGTAATTCCATAGTTTACGAGGCAAACAAAAAGGACACCAAAAATTCTGAATTTTCTTATGAATTCTAAAAATTTAATTTTCTCCAGTTTTATTTAAAATAAATATTTAATCCTTTGGTATTTAATTTACAATAGGAATTAAAATTTTAAAAATTTAAAATTCAAACCTCGTTTAAATTCAACAATATTTAAGATTTATTATTATGAAACATGAAGATATCGTTGACTCCGAGTCGAGATTATTTGTCAAACATTATTGAACTGCTTGTAATACTTGACAAGTATGACATTGTTTGCATATTTTTTTAAAAAAAAACTTGATCAGAGTTATATTTTTCAACGTGGGTATATTCTTGTAGAAAATTGGAGGATTATTGTAAAAGAATTCTCGCAGAACATTGAAAAAAGATTTTTATCAGGTGTTCAAAAAATTTGACGCATTACGAAGCAATGAACCTAAACAAACATAAAATTGTAAGTTATGCATAAAAAGGATTAACTCTCATAAAAACAACTTGTATTTTACAAGTTTAATTTGTAATGTTTTTTTTTTTGTTTTTGTTGTTGTTGTTGTTTTTGTTTAGGTGCCTATTTTTCGTAGCGCGACACAAATATTTTTTGAGTACTGCAAACATTACTACATTTTGCTTTTGATACTTTTTGATGGATATCCCTCCAAGAAGGAACACTAAAAAAATGTGTCAGTTTAGAGCCGATTTTGGGTATTAAATGGGTTAAATTTGGGTATTAAATTATATTAAATATTTGGTTCAATTGTAATACCTGAAGTCGGCTCCAAATTGACACTTTCCTTACAGTAAGAAGATAATGATTCAATGTCCAAGAGAATACCTTTACAAACCTATATACATCTGGAAAGAAGATTTCAGAGAAATACTGAAAATTTGAGAGTAGAGAGAAAGAAAAAATCATTCTGTTTAAAATTAAGAGTGGAGGGGGGCATGAAATATAACCCCCCTGGCATGATATCGACCAGATTGGAAACCCCTGAGTGAGAGTGTTAAGAATGCAAGAACACATAAAACGCTCACACGTACAAGATTATGTAGCATAAACTATAAAACGAGCACACCTCTGACCTTTCTCTTGCATTCCGGCTTTCGCTGTGATACCTACGTGCAGCTTTGTTCTATTTCATTAAGAGCTAATCGCTGGCGCTAGATGTGAATATTCTTATCAAACGTTACGCACATTGTGTCAATTTTAATCTCTATTGTTCAATATTCGCTTTTCAGCGTGCATTCTTTAAGTCTTTTCAATATATTATACGTGTCTTCGTTATTCAGACTGATGAGTCATGTCGCTGACAAATAATGCGCATATTAAGAACAATGGTTTCTATAAGAGGAGACAATAAAAATATTACGGAATAATTACCGTTCAATATACGTGTAGATTAACGCACAATTAGGATAAAATTAGAAAAAAAAGTCGTGCAACATCGAAATGCAATTATACACTTACATAATGCAAGAAAAAAGTGATAAAATGAGCATGCGGTATAAATATATATCTAAAAACAATGAATTACGTGTGGGAGATAAAGGAAAGAATGATCGAGGTGATATTGTCAATATTTCTTTTATTATACTTTCTTCCAATATCAATATATACTTTTTTCAAGGTATATAAGTTTAATAAATAGAAGTGTCGTAATGATTTGCAATTTATTTCTTGTTAAAGTTGTAACAATAAAACTAAATAGATCTGACATTCTTTTTCCTCAGGTTCGATTATGTTGCTTGATTTTATGTATATAATCACGGTACTTGAGCGGAAAAAAAACGGAACGTGATCGTGGTAGATGTTTATTACTAAACCGATCTAGTTTCATTACCATGAAATCTCAGAATGGACTTCAAATTCAAATTTACCTAATTTAACGGCAATGACATCATTTTTTTTTTCATCTTTATTGACCCACTAATGTTGCTCTTAAAATTTTTATTATTGCCTTCAACAATATTAAAGTCAACATAAAATTAAAAGCATTAAAAATTTAAAATATAATAATTCAAGTCCTACCTGAAATACTTGTTTCTTGTTTTATAAAATATATTCCAGATATGTGTAAAAAATAGAAACAAATGAGAGGTAATAATAAAAATACTCAGTTGATTCTTAAATAATTTTTAATTCTTTCTATTATTAAGGATCATCAACGCTAAAAATAATTTTCCCAGAAATACGATTTACCTTAACACCTATTCATTTTTTTCGATATCAGTTAACAGGAATAAGTTAAATTTTCCTTTTTATTCTTTTCATATATGTAAAAGTGAGAATATGAATTAAAGGGTAACACAGGCTTCGCAGTGCCCCTAAAAAGTATTTTAGGAGAAATAGGGGATTGCAAATTAAAAAATAGGGGACTTTTAGAGGACCATAAAAATTGGTTAAATAAAGATAAAAATATAATTTATTTATACAGGGTTGCCACAAAAATTTAACTTTCTTTTTCCCTGACTTTTCCCTCATTTCTAAACACAACTTTGACTTATATTTTTCCCTGACCCTAAAGAATATTCTGATTCACTCTAAAAATTATTAGATACTCAAAAAAATGTTTTATTAAATTTATTTACAAATTTCTTCAAAAGTCAAATTATTCGAAAACATCAATAGTTTTATTTAAAATAAATATTTAATCATTTTTTTTCATTAGAATTAGGATATTCAAAAATTTCAAATTCAAACATTTTCAAATTGAACAACTCATAAGAATAATATTATAAAACGTAAAGAAATGGATAACTCCGAGTCTTCTACTTGGATTGATCCATTTCTTTATGTTTTATAATAATTAAAGATGACCGACTGACAAAATCATTAGTTTATTATTATAAGAATATTGTTACTGTAATTTCTTCAAAATTATTTGTATCATTTCAATTTAATTAACATTTTCTAGAATTTTTAACTAAAATTCTACTTTCAATCAATAACATCAATTATTATAATTCAATTAAACTTTTTCAAAAAAATTAATTCTACAGAATTGTTAGTTAAAAGTACGAAAAACAATAATTTAATTCGAGAAATCAATTATTTAAATAAAAAAATTAAATAATATTGAATGTTTCTTAAAATATAATTTTTACGAAGAATTGTATTAACAACTTTTGAAAATATTTAATTTCTTTTAAGGAATTAAATTAAAATTTTAATGAAATTTATTATATTAAAGAATTTTATAACAATTTTTGAAAATAATTGAAAACTTTTTGAAGAATTTTATTAAATTTTTGAAAAATAATTGAATTCCTGAGAAGAATTTAAATAATAATTTTTGAAAACAATTGAATTGATGAAAAGAATTTTATTAAAATTTTTGAAAATAATTGACTTCTTGAGAAGAATTTAAAAAAAATTGTTGACAATAATTTAATTCTTGAGAAGAATTTCTCTATCTATTTATAAAGATAATTTAATTCCCGACGGGAATTTTTAAAAAATTTTGAAAATAATTTAATTTCTGCAAAGTATTTTATTTTTTAAGAATTGAATTCTTTTAATGAATATTGATATTTGTCAAAATAATTGAAATTTGGAAATGTTTCTTAAAATTGAATTCTTTCCTCAAGTTTTAATAATAATTGCATTTTTCAAGGAATTCATTTAAAATTGTATTAAAAATATTTGAAATTCTGCGATGAAAATAATTGACTTCGTAAATGAAATTTTACAATTTATGAAAATAATTGAATCTTTTCGTTTTTTTTTGTTTTTAAAAATAATTGAATTCTTGTTATTCCTGAAAATTTTTAAAAATAATTAAATTTCTTTGAAGAATTTCTTTACTTATGAAAATAATTGAATTCTTGGGATAAATATTGTAACTTATTAAAATAATTAAATTTTGTAAAGAATTTTATTAAAATTCTTTAAAATTTCAAAATAGGGTACGTTTAGGGGCAAAGAATTTTATTTAAATATTTGAAAATAATTGAATTTTCGGCTGAAAATTTTGCTATTTATAAAAATAATTGAATTCTTGACGAGATATTCGTGAAAATTTTTTAAAATAATTGAATTTCTTTGAAGAATTTCATTACTTCTGAAAATAATTGAATTCTTGGGATGAATATTGTAACTTATAAAAATAATTAAATTTTTGACGAGATATTCATTAAAATTTCTAAAAATAATTGAATTCGTGCAAAGTATTTTATTAAATTTTGTTTAAATAATTGAAAGTTTGTGAAGAATTTAATTAAAATTTTTGACAATAATATTGAATTCTTGAGAAGAATTTTGATTTTTATCAAAATAATTGAATTTTGGAAAAGAATTTTATGAAAAGTCCTTAAAATAATTGATTTTATGGGGAGAATTTTGTTGGTTATCAAGATAATTGAATTCGTTTGCAAAATTACTTAAAAATTATTGAAAATAATTGATTTCCTGCAACGAAAAAAATAGGGAAAATTTAGGGTAAATTTTCAAAATAGGGTACGTTTAGGGGCCAAAATTAAAAAAAAGGTATTTTCAGGGAAATAGGGGACAGACTGTGAAGCCTGAGTAACATAAAATTTACAATATTCTTATGTACCAAAATTGCTTTCAAAAATTTGCAAATAGGCCTCAATTATTTTCTCAAATAATGGCAACTATGCTATGATTGTGCTCTTAAAATGTTTTTATGATTTGTATTTATATTTGTTCTTTTACTAACATTAATATTCATAAAAAAATATACTTAATTTTATAAATGACTTTATAATTTGAAACTTTTTTTTAGCACAGATTGTTGTAGTTGCGCCTTCAACTACCTTCACCTACCTTCAACGTAACCATACCTCATGAAACTATATCAAAAGCGAAGCACATTCCATTTAGTTGCGCGGTTTTTGTTTCGTTTAAATAGATTTTATAATTGAACCCCTTGATGCAAGAACCAGACGCAGCACATTGAAATTCAATAATCTATGCCTGGGTCTTGCATCATAGGCGTTCAATTTTAATATAAGTATAACAACCAATTTTCCAAAAAAATATTTTATAAAAATCACACTTATTTATGGTGATATGGCAACATAACACTTATTTATGGGTTAATCTTCAAACTTTTATGCGACTAAGGAATGTTTCTCAAGTTGGACCCACATAAAAATGATATCTTAAATATTGTACTTTACAAAGAATTGAATTATTTGTTAAAAACCGATGTAAAAATGCAACAAGTTTATATACCGCAGACATGCAATGATGCAATATCTACTAACATTCTTTTCCCTTGAATGCCCTCTTTTATGATTAACTATATCGGAAGTATTCCATTTGTATCAACTGTTGCAGTTAGTCTCCCCTACAGCTTGTCAAACGGAGAATAGTGGTTTTCAGAAAATTCCATTCTCATTCCCGTTAACTGATCGAAACAAAAGAGAAAATAGGGGTTGGTGCTACGTAATCATTTCGTTCAATATTCCTATACTTGAAATATCCCACAAGTCTTTTCCATATTCTAAAAGGAAACAATCGCAAGGCTTTTAAATTTCTATTATCAAATATGTAATATTTCTTCCTATTTTCTATTTTGAGATTCTTTCTATTTTGAGATTTTGGTGAAATTTAGAAACAGTCGCAAAACAAAAAGTAACTCTCTATTCAAGAAAATTAATCAGTAGGTTGAGAAACTTCAATCTTCTGATTCTGTTTGTTCACTGAGTGAGAAATAGAGATAAAAAGATGGGTACAAGAAAAGTTTTTCTTGCTTACGCCGAGAAAAAGAGTAGCTATGATGGGACGTAGAGCATTTTCTCTTGATAACCAGTGATCGTTATACTCACCAGAGTGATAGCGGCTTTCATTCCGCGTGAGTCTGCGATTCCCACGTCTGATGGCTGCCGAATTCGTGTTCCCGATGTTCCCCGTGGAGCCGCCAGTTCCTGGGGGACTGACGATCCCTCCAGGAATCATCCGGCCTCCTGCATGCAACAACAACACAGCGACACATAGACAACAGCTATTCGTAGTTATGGCAAATCAAATGTTGAAGCGATTTTATTTTCAATTGTATTTCATTTTTTCTACCAAATCACCAGATGAAGCTTGCAGCATTTCACCAAGACATTCATTCATTTCTTTAGTTTTTATAATGATTCTATTAATCCCCTCATGCAAAGTATACAAGCCGTTAAATATGAATGTTATGGAGAACTTCAACATTTTCTTTTCTCGAAATAATTTCCACTTAAGGAAAAAGACACGCGACCCAAACATATTATACAATTACATATACTCATTGACAGCTAACATTTGCATCATCCGTAATTCTAAAATCAAATACGAAGGTCTATAAAATTATGACTTGCGTAAAGTAATAATCATTCATTTATTATTTATTAATGAATTATTAAGGTATGATTAAGAGTAATGATTCTTGGAATTGTATAGAATCAGTTAGAACGATTTTATAAGATCGTTTTGAAACAAGTTTAGCTTTAATGGCACATCATGAAAATCCAGAAGTAAAGTTAATTACTACATCCTACTTAAAGTAAGTGTGTTTTATTTTTATTTCCCTCAACTTCTCTCTTTCTTCGTTGAGTTAAAACCGCAATGCCAAGTACGTGGTGTGTATTATGGAGAAAAAAAGGTAAAATGGAACCCGAGGACAAGGTGAGACGTTAAGTATTTAACAATGACAACAACTCTCGTACAACTCAGACGAGAATGGCTCTCTCGAATATGAGAGCCTATACGTATTTTCAGTTCCTGGAATATTTCCTCATAAATTCCACCTGAGGAAGAAAGTTATTCAAAACTTAAAGCAAAAATTATCGATAAGTTTGGTAACAAAAAGACAATTTTTTAAAAACGAACAGGAGTAAAAACAGGAGTACAAACAGGAGTAATCCAGTTAAAAGAAAACTAAAGGGGAATCAAAAAATAAGGAGTTATGAAGACTAGACACATAAACATTACTTCAAAACAAACATAATTATGTATTTTATAAGCATTTTATGAGTAAAACTCATTTCATATCACACTAATTTTCACTTTTAAATATGTTCGTGACGTAAGTGGGTAAAGGTTTAAATAAAATTTCTACGGATCAAAAGCAAAAATGTGAAAATCTAATAGCGGGTATTGTATAATAGTAAGCGGTTTTCGAATTTGTGGAAAAAAAACGAAAAACACAAAAAAAAACTTCTACACACTAACACAACACAAAGGGCAAACAGAAGAAGATACTTTGATTCTTTCTGGGACAAAATAATATGAGTCGTTTTCATACAGTTTTATGTAAAAATTTATTCAAAATTCATCTACTAAAGGCTGATAGTGTCAAAATGTGAACAGTGTTTAAAAAATCTCAAGAACACTTCCATTGATATAAAAAAATAGTTGGAAAAAGTTTGAAAACTACAGAAGAATATATTCTCTGAAAGTCACGTTTCTGATAAACGAATTGAGAGCAATTCCCACCATAAAATTTTTTAACTCATATTACATTGTGGAATAATTTATCAGAAGAAAAATATTTTCTGAAGATACAAAAAAGCAGTACTTTTGAGTTAATAATTTAAAAAATACATATAATTTATTCATTATTTGAAGATTAGGAAATAAGAAAATATTCTATTCGCTTTGACATTCAGCTTTGATTTACTTAAAACAAATTAATTTTGTTTTAATCAAATTTTAATCGTAGCAATAATTTCTGTAGTTCAAACACAAATAATATTTACTTAATTGACACTGTAAAAAGAAAGGTACTAATTTAGTACGAATTTTGGTGCTAAATCGTAATTTGGTTCTACTTTAATACCAAAATCACACAGAAAAAAATGTGTTAAATTTGTTGCGTGTACTTTTCAGATGGTGTTGTTTTAACACAATTTTTGTGTTATTTTAACCCCATTTAAAATGTATATTAATTTAACACCTTCTAGTGTTAATTTAACACACTCTAGTGTTATTTTAACACCAATGTAGTGTTACAATCACACAGTGTCGGTTAAAAATTTTGCGTGTTGTTTTAACACTACTTTTAGTGTTAAAATAACATTTCTTTTTTCCTGTGCAGCTCTAATTTAGAACCTTTTTTTTACAGTGATATATTGTAATTTTTTAAATATTATTTACTATTTGTTAATTATTTTATTTATTTAAAAAGAAGATTTTAAATAAAAAAATAAATTTCAGTGTAAAAAGCATTTACATAATAACAATCGTAGGTAATGAACAAAAAAAAAAAAAAAAGAAAAGAGGTCTCTTACCTGGAACTACCGCATTGACAGATAGGCACAAAACATGACTTAATTTGAGTTAATTTAGAGCTAAATGTCACAAGTACAGTACCGCTGGAAATTTATTGTGCGAACGCTCCATTTTTAATCCTCAATTTATTATGAAGGCAATTTTACATGAAATTATCATTTCCAAATTCAATTTTTATTCTAAATGGTAGAAATCCTTCTATAGTGAATCTACTTTTTAAGCACATTTTATTTAAAACTATAAATTAAATTTTTCATAACTATAAAATATGAATATATCAATAACTCCGAGTCTTTGACTCGGAGTCATCGATTTCTTCATGTTTTATAATAATTTTCGAAAAAGTTCTTTGACAATTTTCAAATTTAATTTTAGGAAATTTCAATTATTCGTAAATTCTTCAATTAAATTTATATTAAAAATAAAAACTTCAAATAATATAAAAAAATCCGCAATTAAAATTTCTGTAAAAAAATTAATTCCACAGAATTGTTAGTTAAAAATATGAAAAATTCAAATTTTCCAAGATTTTCCTCTAAAACTTTTTCAAAATTCAATAATTTCTGAAAATTTATGCTCTAATGTTTTTAATATTTAATTATAATCTAAAATTTTAACTGCAATAAATTTTTTTAAAATTTAATTCTTATAAAGAATTTTATTAATAAATTTTTAAATAATTAAATTCTTCTGACGAATTTTAATAAAATTTTTAAAAATAATTGCATTTTTCAAAACCTTTGATGAAATTTGTATTAAAAAAATAATTGAAATTCTGCAATAAGTTTAATTATTTATGAAAATAATTGAATTCCTAAAAAGAATTTTATTAAAATTAATGAAAATAATTAAATCTCTGTAAAAAATTTTATTATTTATGAAAATAATTGAATTACTGCGAAGAAATTTATAGAAAACATTATTTGTAAATAATCTAATTCCTGTAAAATTTTTATTATTTATGAAAATAATTAAATATTTGTCTAGAATTTTATCAAATTTTTTTTTAAATAATTGTATTCTTTCGGAAAATTTTACTAAAATAATAAATATTGAAAATCATTTAATTGAGAAATTGTTTTGAAAATAATTGAAGTTTTGTCAAAAATTGTATTAAAATTTTTCAAAATAATTGAATTTCGGAGAAGAATTTTAATATTTCTGAAGATAATTGAATTTCTAAAAAGCATTTTATTATTTATGAAAATAATTGAATTCTTGCGAACGATTTTATTAGAATTTTTTCAAATAATTGAATTTCCAAGAAGAACTTTATTACTTTTAAAAATAATTGAATTTTAGTGAAATTTTTATTATTTTATGAAAATTAGGTTTGCGTAGAAATATTATTAAATTTTCTTTAAATAATTGAATTCTTTTGAAATTTTTTTTAAAAATTGTATATATTAAAAATCATTGAATTGAGGAAAGTTTTTGAAAATAATTGAAATTTTGCCAAGAAATTTATTAAAATTTTTGAAAATAATTGAATTTTGGAGAAGAATTTAGTTATTTATAAAGATAATTGAAATTTTCACGAGAATTTAAGAAAATTTTTGAAAACAATTGGATTTCTTAGAAGAATTTTATTATTTGAATAGATAATAATTGAAATTTTGACGAGAATTTTTTAAAAAAATTTAATTTTACAGAATTGTTAGTTGAAAAGTATGAAAAATTCAGATTTTCAAAAATTTTAATTTGAAACCTATTCAAAATTCAATTTTTTCTAAAAATTTACGCTCTAATGCTTTTAATATTCAATTATGGCTAAGAAATTTGTATAAAATTTGTAAATAATTGAATTTCTGTGAAATTATTATTATTTTGTGAAAATAATTAAAGGTTTGTGTAGAATTTTATTAAATTTTTTTAAATAATTGAATTCTTTTGAAAATTTTTTTTAAAATTGTAGATATTAAAAATCATTGAATTGAGGAAAGTTTTTTGAAAATAATTGAAATTTTGACAAGAATTTTATTAAAATTTTTGAAAATAATTGAATTTCGAAGATGAATTTAATTATTTCTAAAGATAATTGAAATTTTTACGAGAATTTAAAAAATTTTTGAAAATAATTGAATTTCTTAGAAGAATTTTATTACTTTTGAAAATAATTGAATTTCTACAATTATTTGTAATTTCTCTAAAATTATCCAAATTATAGAAGAATCATTCATTTGAACTTTTAAAATTTTAGGACAATAATTTGTTTATTTATTATTTTTTTAAAATACACCCTATCTTCTTCTAAAATTACTGTTTTATATAGAAAAGTCAGAATTGAAGTTGTGCAAAATTAATTCTTAAAAATATTAGTTACAGCTTAAACCATTTAAAAGATATCAGCATTTTAATAATTTTGAGCTATTGTTGTATCTTAAAAATATACTAATTGTTTTTGTTGTATCTTACAAATAGACTAATTGTTTTGGATAAAAAATTTGATTTTCTGAAACTATATACCAAAAAAATACTAAGTTTCATTTAAATCGATAAGGGTGCTCCGAAAAAGTTTAATTTTATTATGAAAAGGCACATAAAAGGGTACTTCAAAAAAATTCTGGAAAAATGAAAACTTTTTGCTCTTATAACAAGTTGAATTAAGCATTACTATCAAAATGTTTTTTTTGTAAGAAAATGTTATGAATTTTCATATGTAGTCAATTGAGAGCACATCATTAACACTAAATTCCTATTGTATAAATGTAAGAGAACACTTAATTGACATAAATTTCCTATGAATGCAGGAAATTTTTGTGATTATTAGCTGTTATTAGTTATGAACCTAATAGAGTTATGAGTTTTTCTGAAACTGTACCATGTGTCTCACAAATAATACTAAAGAATACTGCACTCCAAAAAAAAGTAATCTCATATTTAGAGGAAAAATCCTCTGCTAATATTCTCTCAATTTTTCCTCTTAAAACAAAAAGTATTCCATTTGAATTTAGAATATTTTTATTCTTTGGTTAATAATAAAACAAAACAATTTTTTTGAGGTTCTGACTAGAAAATTTCTCAAAATTAATAGAAAAAATTTTTGCCCTAATATAGTGGGATAATTAGCTGATAATGGCAATTGTTTTGTGTCATCTGTCATTGCTGTAATCCAGAAATTAAAAGTCCAGGAAGAAAAAATTTGACAGTTTGGTTTTGTCAAATTTATTCAACTATTTGAGATCTGCTATTATATCCATATTAAGGTCATGTTCTTTAGTGGTCACGTGTCCCCTATGCTTTGGAGCACGTTGTGATTGATTAACATAAACTGAAGTCAAACCAGTAAACTGTAAAAGTAATGAAAAGAAAATTTTACAACAGATTATAAAGTTCTCTTGCTGTGACATTTTACTAGCTACACAATAAATATCTAGTTCGATAAATTAATACCAATTCAAGGAAAATAAAAATTCTCTTGAATAACCAATTCTACAGTTAAGAAGTGTACCAATTTACTTGAGAAGTAAATTATATGACTATGTAATGAATTTGAAAAATTTCCCTCTTTTTACTGCTTTTTATCTTGAGAAATTGAAATTTCACTAATAAAACAAAACTGAAATATTTAGATTATTCTTTTTTTTTTAATAATTAGGAGAAATTCTTGTGAAAAAAGGGTCACTGACTCATAGAATTTTGCTTTTTGATTGAACCCAGAAAGAGGGGCTCGAAACACGCTACCTGAGTGATAGCGTTTCTCGGAGTGAGTGACACGACGTTGCGTACGCCGTGCACGTGGTTGCGGGCGTCCAGCACCACCACCTCCACCGCTCCCGAAACCCGTTCTATCCGCCTCACAACTTCCACCACTTCCAACGTTTCCACTCCCTGTGGGTGGCATGCATGCACAGCCAGAAGAACAAAAAAATACATTATTTCTTTTTTTTTTACTCTTTTTTGTCACGTAAACATCCCCCCCCCCCTCTCATATAATAAAATAAAAATAAACATTAAGTAGAGTGCTTATGGATATTCATAAAAAAAGGGTGGAAAAAAACTTCCGACTCATTATATGTATAGGTACGCATAGCACTCAACAATATTCTGTATACTTGCTCGCAGGCATATTAAATCATGTCTGTTATTTTTAAAGCTAAGCCTTACAAAATAATATAAAGAAAAGAGTATGATTATTAGATGCAGTAGACGTCGTTTCATATATTACTAAGCCACTGTATGTTCTTTTTTTTGCGACAGTTTTTCTATTTTTTAGTTGAAAATCAACTATCAACACGTCATTAAATAAATTTTATGATTACAGCAGGGTTCGAATGGTCTTTAAGATTAAAAACAAAAGTCACAACAAAAGTCACGAAAAGTCGCATAAATGTTCCGAAAAAGTCGCACGAAATTTTAGAAAAAACGCCAAAAAGGAAACACGAAATTGTCAAAATTGTTTTAAAAAAATCACTTTTCTCGACAACACATACTTTAATATCAAACAATCCAGAATACTTTAATAAAATTTAATAAAATTCATAGCCAAATTTTAATTAGGTATTTTTAACATTTTTTAAAAAAATTCTCATTAAAATGTCAATTATTTTTTTAGATAATAAAATTCTTCTGTAAAATTCAATTATTTACAAAAAATTTTAATAAAATTCTTGTCCAAATTTCAATTATCGATATAAATAATAAAATTCTTTTCTGAAATTCATTTATTTTCAAAAGTAATAAAATTCTTCGCAGAAATTCAATTATTTTCAAAAAATTTAATAAAATTCGTTACAACAATTCAATTATTTTTATAAATAATAAAATCCTTCTCAGAAATTCAATTATTTACAAAAATAACAAAATTTCTTACAGAAATTCAATTATTTTTTATAAATAATAAAATCCTTCTTAGGAGTTCAATGATTTTTAAAAATTTTAATAAAATTCGTTGCAAGAATTCAATTATTTTTATAAATAATAAAATCCTTCTCAGAAATTCAATTATTTTTAAAAATGTTAATAAAATTCGTTGCAACAATTAAATTATTTTTAAAAATTTTAATAAAATTCGTTGCAAGAATTTAATTATTTTTATAAATAATAAAATCCTTCTCAGAAATTCAATTATTTTTAAAAATTTTTATAAAATTCTTATGAAGAATTCAATTATTTTAAAAAATAACAAAATTTTTTACAGAAATTCAATTATTTTTAATGATTTTAATAAAATTCGTTGCAAGAATTCAATTATTTTTATAAATAATAAAATCCTTCTCAGAAATTCAATTATTTTAAAAAATAACAAAATTTTTTACAGAAATTTAATTATTTTTAATGATTTTAATAAAATTCGTTGCAAGAATTCAATTAGTTTTATAAATAATAAAATCCTTCTCAGAAATTCAATTTTTTTCAAAAGTAAGAAAATTCTTCGCAGAAATTCAATTATTAAAAAATTTTTTTTTAATTCTTCTTGTAATTTCAATTATCTTTATAAATATCAAAATTCTTAGGCAAAATTCAATTATTTTTAAGCATTTTTTAAAAAAAATCTGTTCAAAATTTCAATTATCTTTATTAATAATAAAATTTTTGTGAAAATTTCAATTATTTTTATAAATAATAAAATTCATCCTAGAAATTTAATTATTTTCAATTTTTTTTAAATTTCTCGTCAAAATTTTAATTACCTTTACAAATAATAAAATTCATCCTGGAAATTTAATTACTTTTTAAAAGTTGTGATAAAATTTGTGCAAAATTAATTATCTTCAAAAGTAAAAAAATTCTTCGCAGAAAGTCAATAATTTTCAAAATTTTTTTTTGAATTCTCCTCACAATTTTAAGTATTTATAAAAATTTTAATAAAATTCTTGTCAAAATTTCAATTATCTTTATAATTAATAAAATTCATCCTAGAAATTCAATTATTCTCAAAAGTAACAAAATTCTTCGCAGAAGTTCAATTATATTTAAAATTTTTTTTTTAATTTCTCGTCTAAATTTTATAAATAATAAAATTTATCAGGGAAATTTAATTATTTTCAGAAGTTCTGATAAAGTTCTTTGCAAAATTCAATTATCTTCAAAAGTAAGAAAATTCTTCGCAGAAATTCAATTATTTCCAAAATTTTTTTTTTAAATTCTCATCCAAATTTCAATTAATATCTATGTAAATTTCAATATTCTTCTGCAAAATTCAATTACTAATGTTTTATAAATTTCTTTCCAATAATTCAATTATTTTCATAAAAAATAATTAAAAAAATTTTTTTTTTATAAAGTCTTATAATATAAAATAATAATTTATAAGTTGTTAAATTTCAAAAAAGTTTGAATTCGAATGTTTTAAAGAATTTTAGTTCCTATGGAAAAATAATAATGAAATATTTATTTAAAAACGAAGTTATTGATGTTTTCGAAAAATTTGAAAGAAATTTGTAAATAAATGTAACACAACATTTTTTTGACTAAAACTTTTTCCTTTAATTTTCTAAAAATTTAAAAACTTTCAGTCGCATTTTACTAAAAAAAATCTCGAAAAAGTCGATTAGTCGTATTTTTTTTTACAAAAAAGTCGAGAAAAATTCACATTTCCTTAGAAAATTCGAAAAAAAAGTCGAAAAAGTCGCAAAATGCAAATTTGCTAATTAAGAGTGAATTTGAGTTTGATTCGAGTGCAAAACTCGACTGGAATTTTGAGCAACTGATGTGACATTTTTTTATAATACTTATACAATGTACTGAAATTGGACAGTTGCTCAAGAATCTTAAGGTAATCCAATTTAAACGCATCGTTGACTAATGAACATTTAATGAGATTAATTAGAAAAAAATTCTTTACTCGTCTTACATGACAAGAATTCAGATTAAATTCTTTAATTTACATTTCTTTCATTTAATTTTATGCAATTTCTAGAAAAATTTGTAAAACCATACCTAAATTAGATAGTTTATCGTGAACAACACTCAAGATTTCATTCAAAGAACTATTTGTCGTATAAATTTTTCTACATGCTAAAAAATGGTTGAATAATAAATTCAGCTCATTAACCTCGAGTGGTTAATTAATTTAATTAAACATTAACTTGATAAATTTTGGTCGGAGCAGCTATTTCTATTGAACAACGTAACTAAGTGGTAAACTTGTAACAAATCTACATGTTGAATGGCTTTTTCGATAAGTTTATTATTTATTCATTAATTCATTAATTCATTAATATTTCAATCCGGAAATTTTTGATGATTCAGGAATAATCTTTTCCACGTACAGTTTGAAAATATGTTTCTGGGAAAAGAATTTGCGACTGCAGAATACTGCGACGCAATTATTATTTTCTTTTCTTTACCAAAAAAATCTTATAAACAATCAACTGTACGTGAAAGAATTTCAATATAAAATTTTAATTTCTTTCTTAATTTCATTCTTTATGAAATCGAATCGACCTTTTTTGGAAAACCTGAAGAAGATTAATTTTTTTTAAACAAACGCTGTAGAGAAAATGTTGAACAAACAATCGAAAACAAAACAAAACAATCGAAAATCGAAAACTAAATAATCTAAAAAATAAAATTAGGTACAGGAGAAAATGAATTTGATCTCGAATTTGATGTAGAAACTATTTTTGAATGGAAAGAGTACAATTTTTTTCCATCACCTAATGAATAGAAAGGCAGCAAAAAGTTTATTGGTTCGAGAAAATTGTTCTCTCAATGATTTTTAATGACCTCTTGTCGATTGAAAATCCAAGAAGGACAATAATAAAAGGCCAGCAACAAACAATTTAACTTGATCGCGATTTCCGTTTCTCAGCAAAAGTAAAGCAAAGCAAAAGCAAAGCAAAGCGTCGTGAAGGTTTCGTGTCGAGCCACCCAGAAAATTGTCTCATTCGCCTCGCTTCTTGGACAATGGCAGATGCAGCGCAAAGTAACGAGGAATAGAGCAGGACTCTAGCTCTAGGATACCCGGAAGCAACTCTTCCGCGTCGATGTGCAGTTACCTGCCGTCAGATATACTTACAGTATTTGAGAGAGGAGAGAAGCAAAAGCCAGTCAGTCTTAATGCAGCAGCAAACATGAAGCTGACCGGTTTCATATAAAGCATTCCATATGCTTATAGCCAATACATATAAATTTCTGATATTTGCCTGATATCAGCTTCTATTCACATAATCCGAATGATCACCCCGAGGGACACTGCGCACGATACGCCGCTATATTCTCGCAGCGGAAACAATGTTGCCATAACGCACAGAAACCGTTTCTCATTCTCTTCATGCTATTGCCATTATACTTTTTCATCTTTTTCATGTTTGTGCAAATTACCGAATAAAAATCGTACCGTTAGCGATTAAATATTACTCAATCGTCGTCACACTGTAAAAAGAAAGGTACCAATTTAGCATTTTGGTACTAAATCGTAATTTGGTTCTATTTTAATACCGAAATCAGGTTCTAATTTAGAACCTTTATTTTATAGTGCATCATTTATTTAGCAAACAACAATTTCAATAAATAATCTTTTATTATTGTCGAGATCTATATACTAGCTTCTCAACTTTATTCAAGGCACGATTTCCACGGGTTTGTTGAATTTCATGAAAATTAATGTTAGAAAGCGAAAAAGCGAAAGGATGTCTATTCTCTCTGTAATTCCCGACAAACTCAACTTTTAAATGAACAGACAAAAACCAAAATACATTTGGTCGAAATCGACAAATCCTCGTGATTTAAAGATACAAATATAAACATTTCTAAATTGTAAACAACACCTTCTTTTATTGAATATTTCCCCACAATTTTCCTTGTAGAATTCTAAGACTTTTTCGACTTTTTTCACATTTCAAATTCCCTGACTTTTCCAGGTTTTCCAGGTTAAAAAGCGGAAT